CATCAGGCCTTAACAGATACCGATTATGATAACAGACTGAACTATTACCATTGACTTTTAAATATGATTTGGGCAAATCCAAACCTTTTATCACAAATGCTATGGATGCATGAAGCATCTGTCCACAAGCTGGTGTAAACTTGCATAATATGCATTCTTGGTTCGAGCAAAACCCACATTGCTTTCACCCCTTTATCTATTGCGTAGACTAAACGACCTGACTTTTCAAGAAAAACCAATAACCAGGGCAAATATGACAAAACTCTAAATACCAGTAGAAACGTGTCCAGGGCCGAGACTTAAGCTTTTAAGTTTTTTTTCGTCAAAACTAGATTAAATAAATGCATCGAGGTTTATGGAAGGCATTTCGCACATTAGTGAGCTATTTTTGCCAAAAATTTAAGTTATTCTAAGTGTTTTGGTTTATTTTGTTTTATTATCATTGTTGATGTTTCATTGATCCGTTAGCTTTTAAACACGCCTCAAAAGTAGTTTTGGAGCAGTTCTAAGCTTGGATAAAGTGTGAAGGAAGGGTCTAGATAATAAAATTTTTGTGCTCTCTTATTTGTTTCCTAAGGTAACTTGATCTGATTAAGATATTCGAATTTTTAACATTTTCTTTTATAATTCGAGAATGGATGGAGATATCGAGATGCGGTTTTCACTATTCTTTAGCATATTTTATAGTGATTAAGGGTCTGTGAAGAAAACAGTACCGTTCCATTTAACTTTTTTTCAAAAATCACAAAAATATGTAACCGCTTATTTGTTTTAAACCAAGCGGTCTTACTGAAAATATCTTTTAAAAGAGTATGTAATGCTCTTTCAAACAAGACCAGAAATATTCAAATCGGTTGAACGGTCCAGGAGATATTAAAATGTAAACATTTGAAAACGCATTGGCCTCCCCCTCCCTTATTATGACAGATATGAGAAATATCGCAAAACAAAAGCGATGCGGTATTATCCAAGCTACTAAATGATGTTGTCAAAGTTATAGCTCATCGTCTAAGTTTCTGAGATAGCGGGAATTTTATGTTTCTCTATGGCAGTTACGCCCCCTAGGGGTCGAATTACGAACTTCAAAATAATTTCCAGCTATTTGCCTTGCCCACTTTGCTTATAAGGATTTTTTTCCCAAACCTCTAGGCCTTACCGTTGTCGAGATACAGCCGCTCCGTACGCTTAACGGGACACCCTGTATAAATCGGTAGACAGCGCGGAAATTTCCATCATGTCATCTGCAAAAGCATATATACCTGTCGTACGCCTTGTTCAATTTGGAATTCATCCGAGAAGGTTTCATTTGTTCTTATTCGAAAAGATGCCATTATGCCACACTGAGTCTCACTGCGCTTTTTGTATGTCTAAGAAAAGAGCTGCTGATTTTAGTTGCTGCAAGCTATAAGTGTCTTATCTTCAACATACATTAGCAGTCGTTTTTTAATAAGATTTTCAAACATTTGCCCGATGGGAAGCAAAGTTATAGGACGATAACCAGAAGGCGTTTGTAGGTTCGAATCTTTTTTTGGGATGCATACTACTGTCCCAGTTTTGCATTCATTAGGAAAGTATTGATTTTGGAAACAAAAGTTGAATATGTCTTTTACATATGCATGAATGTTAAAAATTGTTCGTGTCAGCTTATCACAGCCGACCGAAGTATTTTCTCCCTTGCTTAACAATTCCCAGTATTAATCTTCGTCGACATTCAATCTGTTACTAGAAATTTGTGCAGTGTGATGGTCGTTATCGAATTAGTGATTTTCAGATTTTTTAAAACATTCTTCGAGATATTTAGCATGTACATGCCATCAGATGGATCTATAAGATAAACGGGCTAGATGTTTTTTTTTGTATTTTAATAGTTTTTTGACTTCATTCCAGAAAAATTTTCCCTTACTTCGGTTGATATTATTAAAAGCTTCAATAAATCTGGAAGATCTGAATTGCCATATTAACTTGTGAATACTTTTAATAAGTTCATTGGTGTCAGCATCTTCATTTCTTCTGTACTTCTTCTTGGTACATGCATCTTTTATATTTAATTTACGTTAGGATATAAGGAGGGAGTGGGAAGGAGTAATAGGATTTAATATGTTCGATGATATATTCTCTGGGTTAATAGCAGGATTGTTAGGGATGTAATTTGTCGTGTCATTGTGTAGGTGTCGATATTGCATAAATTAATATTAATGTGTAGTGGAATGTCTACTATTGGGGAGTATGGTGGGGTGTTTAGTTGAAAATCTATGCTGAGGTGGTCTGAACCATGATATATTATTAATTGTAGAACATGAATCAGAGGATATATGTTGGTATTGGCCTGCATGATAAATGTAGGTAGTGTAGCTATTTTCTTGTATCCAGTCTGATTGAGGAAGTTTGTTAGATGTTTGTTTTTTGGCGTTACCGTATAGTGAAGCTTTTATAAATATAGTATCATCTATTCCATCATGTGGGTGAATATATACCAGGAAAATGTGTGTTAATACTCTGATATTAACATTGCCAATTTCAGATATTTTTTCCACTACAGATTACCTTAAAAATCGCTTTTTTTAATAAATATTAATATTGAAATGTAGGATTTAGTTTAAAATGTTTTATCTCCGAAAATAAATGAGATTTTTAAAATCGGATTACAGCATGATAAGATAGATAAACACATCTACATATCCAGGAAATATTATAACGATATTGACAAAAATAGATTTTTAGATGATTCACAAAATCCGTTTTATTAAAAAAAAATAGAACTCAAAAAGTACATGAGATTTTCAAAAACATAACCTTCCCCAAAATTTTTTACATGTTATTAATCCTAGTAAATAAAACTAACCTGAGCCAAGATTGCACTGAGAGAAATAGATTGTACGAATCGTATTATAGAAAAAATATTATACATGCAATGATATTTATATGCTTCAGTACAATCTCGTCTCACTGTCACTAACGTATTAAATATTATATTACCTTATAGTATATTTTTAGTGCATAGTACCCAACCTATCTAGTATTAATTATTCATCCCCTTTCTCTCATAACTGAAATTCTCCATGCTATAAGTGTATTCTTAAGTTTTGAAAATTAATTTGAAAAGTATATTTATTCCTGTATCTCTGCATGCCACGTAATTTGTGGTTAGTAAATTCCTTGTGTTAGTCTTCGTAGCATCATCAACGTCGGGTTTATCAACATTTCAATTACGGCGGCAATTAATTGAGTTGGCACTTCGGTGACCTTAATTATTGCTACAAACGCCGCGACGCTCCACCAGCTATTAGCTTAGGCGGCTTTCTTTCTAACAATCCCAAACATTGACGCAAACATTGATACTTAGAATTTTTGATATAACACAAAGAAACGTTCAATTAGGTTCAAACCCTGCAATAAAAACAATACATAAATAGAGAGGTACATAATTTCACGTCTCAATATATTCCGTTTGTTTGTGTGCCTGCCAGTAAAGGTAACAATGAAAAAAACTTATTTACACTATGTGAATTCCACGTCAGGGCTATGTTTATAAACCGTTCAGGAAATTCGATATCGTTCGTCGTTTAACCTACATTCACCTATACACAATTTTAATGCGAAACCTTCACTCCAAAGAAAATTCGATCGACGCCGTGCACCTGTAGCGCGCAAACGGAAACTTAAATTTACGATCAACCCTCTATATAAGTTTCAAACTACAAAGTTTCGAAGTTGTAATTTTTATGATTTGACATATTGACGATCTAAAATAACTTCCGAATGGAAAGTCAATGTAAATGTAACGTCTGTTTTCAATCGTTTTCGTTGGCGATGTTAAAAGAACAAAGGCGAGATGAGCGTTTATGTGGTGATTTAAAAATACCGGTGAATATAAAAATATCCAGACCCCCCTGTTTTCAGCGTTGCGCCAACATAAACGCTTTCACCCATAAAAAAATTTTAAATTAAAAAATTTTTTTATTTCTTGGCAAAGCACAGAGATGCATAATCAAAACTACCCGCAGGAAATAAAATCAATACTTTCGAAGACAAATTGGATTACGGTATCCAGGTGCTTCCATGCGAGCAAAGCAGATTAGATCAAAAATCTTAGATATAACAGATTCGTACCGAACAGGTAACCACTGGACAATTCGGACTATGAACCAGTTAATCCCTCGATCTCTAAGCCTCATTTCCAGAAGTTTGGTGAGGATTACAAGACTATAAAGATAAGAGAAGCCGCTTCTCAAACAAATCTTTGATAAGGAGCCACGTGACAAAAGCACGTAATCGATAATAATAACGTTACTGTTTTATATTAGCGTTATATTTCTTTGCCGATCATACAAAGAAAGAGTAGTGACTAATTCCAACAACAACGTTTTTTATCAATAGGATGAATGATCATTGCTTCTTTTAACAATGGCAAACAAAGGTCAAAAAGCAAGAAAACCATTTATGGATTTATGGACATAGTATATTTCAAGATTGTTACGAAGAAGTCACAATCAATAACATTAATACCAATTGAATAGGTTTTAATTGAATACAAAGTGTTGAGTACATCTCAACTCGACTATTTGAATTGAGTTATTGTGTACTGAATTTAGAGTCAATGTCAAGTTGTACTAGTTAAAGGTTTTAATTTCGAGTACTCTTTATTTAACAAACGGAAATGCGATAAACCGCATCGATAAATAGATCTTTTTAAATAAATCTTTCGGTTTATTTTACGGTGGCAAATTATCTCGGGATGATGCACGAATTGTTGCATTTATAGCTACCCCAGCAGGAATATACACGCGAATATCCAGACGCCGGAGGCAACTGTGAATAAATTACCATCAACCCCCGTTCGTTACTTAGTTATATGGGTCCTAAGCACGTATTTAATCAATCGATCGTCTCCACGTAAACTTGACCGCCAAAATTTTAATTTAGTAAATTTATTATTTTAATAAAAAAAAATAAATAAGAAACCAATTAAAAATTAAATTGATTTATTTAAAGTCACTCACCAATTTCCGGGGTTTCCTTCAACAAATTAGTATCATTAGCTTCCGGCAATAATTTTTCTGACGGCCTATCAACAACTTCTTCAGTTGCATTATTTCGGCTAAATTTATATATATTCGCGGAGTCGGCCGACTTCGTTACCGTAAATCGTTCGGGCATTATTGCCTGTGACCCTTCTCACCCAAAAAACGCAAACCGAATCCTGCTGGACACATCAAAACCACGTTATATCGCTCGCAGAGCGCGGAACGCGTGTAAACAACATTCAAAAAACCGTCGCAACGTATAATGCCAACTTCTAAAACACAACTGCTCTTTTTACAAGACTTCCAGTGTATATTCCGAATGGTTTTGTTGATATACATCTGTCGCCATCTATATCACGACGCCCCAACTTATAATTCAATATAAAATTACCCTGAATTAGTTTTGTCTCTTTTTTAAAAATATCATATTTTAATTAATATAAAAACATTTTAACGGAGTTTTATATTGCGTAATTGCAGCAGTTCTCAAACAATTTAGCGAACATTTATATATTGGGTAGCGTGGCTGATACATAATTATATCAGAATATCATATTAACTATTAACACTGTTAATGGAAAGCAATAAAGTGTTTGCAATAGACTAAGTAGCCTGCAATACTGGTGACTAATGACTAGATGCAACCAGTGAAAGACTAGATCCCTTTATAGAAAGTCTACAGAAAACGCTTTCAGAACACTAGATATTGGTGTCAGAAGAGTAGATACTGCTTTGCAAATAACTAAATGCTGCTAGTAGAAGACTAGATAGTTCTAAGAGACGATTATATTACCTTTGCAAAATAGATACTGCTGGCGCAAGAAGACGAGATTTTAGTGGTACAAGACTAAATATTGGTGGTAAAAGTCTAAATCCTCCTTATAGATCCCAATTATAATCTCTACCTTACAAAATGTCTAAAAATATATAAATAAAATAATTTTTTCCTTTGTATCTAAAAAATTTGAGCAAATAATTAATGAAATAACTTTATTAATTAATTACAAATTAAATGGTAAAAAAATTTTCTGATAAATAACTCATTCCCCCTCTCCTCCGCAATAATAACAATCGCCAATCAAACACCAACACGCCAAAACACAGCACTTTAAACGTTTTACTGTACAGTTCGGTGAAAACCGTTGATTTCTGACATAAATCAATTGAAATATTATGCTCATCGTGTACCAGTTGTAAACGTGAACAAGAAATGAGTAAATTCGTTGTGTTTATCGCCACTCTGGTTGTTCTAACCTCACTTTTCGCGATTGTAACCTCAAACAAGAAGGAACAAGTGAGACAACGCCGGTATCCGCCATGCAGTGCATGTAAAATCTTTATAAATTCATTCAAAAAGGTATTGTAATATTTTTTTAATTCAATATAAAAATATTAATTTTATTGTTAGGGTATGGATAGAACGGCGAAAGGACATCATGCAGGTGGTGATACAGCTTGGGAGGAGCAAAAGTTGGGTTCATACTCAAAAAGTGAAATTCGATTAGTAGAAATTCAAGAAAAGGTTTGTTTGGATGTAGAGGAAGGACGTGATCAATGTTATGCGTTACATGAAGAACATGATGCGATTATTGAGGAGTGGTGGTTTAATCTACAAGATGAAAAGCCAAATATTTATGAGTATTTTTGCATAGAAAAGTTACAACATTGTTGTCCTGACCATCACTATGGTGCAAATTGTACTCCTTGTGCTGGATTCCCTGATAATATTTGTAATAATAATGGTAAATGCAAGGGGAGTGGAACTAGGAAGGGTAGTGGGCAATGTGCTTGTGATGATGGATATGCAGGGGTCACATGTAATGAGTGTGATAATAAATCTTATGAAGCTTATCGTGATGATAAGAAGCTTTTATGTTCACCTTGTCCTATATATTGTGATGGGGCTTGTACAAAAGAGGGTTGTGAAAAATGTGCGCCTGGTTGGATACCTGGTGCTGAACCAGGAACTTGTTTGGATATCAACGAGTGCGCTGGACCTAAACCAGTTTGCACACCTCTCCAATTTTGCGTTAATACTGATGGATCTTATAGATGCCTTGAGTGTGATAAAGCTTGTACTGGATGCATTGGTGATGGTCCCGACATGTGTTTGCGTTGTGCCAAAGGTTTTAGGATGGTAGATAAGATTTGTATTGATGAAGATAAAGAGAATAGACATAATTACGTTTATTGGACCAGAATAATAACCTATCTTGGTTTATGTGTTTGTACCTGCATTATTTTACAGCGCAATGTTGTACTTGCTGGAATTATTGGGTTGTGTGTTGCCGTGTATATTGCAGTTTCAGAATATATACTCAACTCTCCACCTACACCTATATCAGCGGAAATTCCTCAAAGATTCTTCCAAGATTCGTGATAAGTTAAAAAAGATTTTTCATTCATTCCTATTCAAATTTAGCGAATGAACCAATTTAGTGATTTTTTTTAGATAAATTTTTGAGTTCATAAACGACTGTGCGTGTAGACGAATAAATGTATTTATTTTTTGTTATGTTTCTGTTTTTTTTTTGTAAATTATTGTTATTTTATTCAAACCAAATAAATGAATTTACGAATAAAACGTTTAATATTTTTTCAAATAAATTTATAAATATCAACTGCATGCCCTTCCAAATGAACATTTCGGTTTATTATATAATATTAAATGACAAATTTTGATGATTTATACGCGAGGTGAAAATAGAAGTATGTAAAATGTTGCTGCCAGAGTTATTAATATGCGCGGTTTGTTGGAACGTATTGAGACTAAAAAAGTAAAATTTTGAATCTCGGCCCAGCTTTACGTCACACATATGGGAGATTTGAGTCAAACGAGAAAGTATAGAGAGTCGAACAGACCTTGATATGTCTCAATAATAGTGTTCGTCTCTCGGCTAGAGATGTCGTCAGCTGGCACACATGGATCGTAAATAATCGTTTATTCGTCGCTGTTTATTTGGACGAATTTAAACGCGTTTATTTAAATTAGAACTCGTTCCAACTGTATAATTAGTACGTAGAAAGTTGGTTTAGATGAATCTCGTAAAGCTGACCCGTTCTCATTGTAATCCCAAAATGCTTTTTAACGTGTTCGCTCTGAGTACCCTAGGTAACTACTAATCTTGTTTTAACCCATTAGTACGTAGTTTTTACTAACAAAATAATATTCTTGTTTAGTGTTCCATGTGGCTTGTCATGAGTGTTATATATGTGGCGGTGAGGATGGTCAGTATAGTTGTACAGAGTTCAACGCAAGTTATAAAGAAGTGTGTCCCCAAGGGGTGGCAAGTTGCAGTTTACACATCAACGGTTAGTAATTTCTTCGCCCGCGTCGTTGCTCCCTTTTGCTGTAGAGCGTGTTTTTTAGGGAATGAGGTGATTGCTCGGATGTGTGGGGAGGCTACGAACTTAACTGATTGCAAAGTAGCCAACAAAATTAAATATTGTTACTGTGCTGCTAATTTGTGTAATGGTGACACTAACCTGGGGTTTGAATCTGACGATGAAGATCTTACAGAACATGGGAGTGGATATGACACCACAACTACTACAACAATAGTTGAACCGTCCACAGTTACACCAAGATCTAACAATTCTAACAGCCTCAAAGCGACCCTGTATCTGTTTTTGTATTGTTTGATTTTTATTTGATAGGAATTTAGCTATTGCTTTTACCAAACAGTATTATGTTTACCAGTCTTCCGACGCTTTTATGCAAACTTTTTTACTAGTCATTGTATTACTTGAGATTGCTTAGCTTGCCTTAGTACAAAACATGTTCGAAAGGACGGCAGCTTTTGGTGCTAAATATTTTTATATACTCACTGTATTTTATACAGTCTCGTCAATTGATACTTCCACAAACAATATACTCGTATATTTTATATTTTATATACTCTTGTACACTGTGTGTAATTTTAAAGGGTGAAAATAAACAGTATTAATTTGCATTTTTCGTTTTATTTAGTAAATTTATATTAAACTAATAATAATTTATGGGGAATAATACTTTAAATGCGTGGGAGTAAACAAATATCGATTTACAACAGCGGAATAAACATTGCTTATTGTGACTAGGTAACGTAGTAACAAATGTATAAAAATAGTCAATCTGCGATATCACAAGTTTTTCACAAGAACCCAACCATTTTCTCATCAACAAGCTGATAGAATAGTAAATACACCTCCTTTTCGTAAGTAGTCGGAGTCAAATCGATAGGACGAACCATTTCGTCATTAAGCTCATACCACCTTAAACCAAAAAATTTAATTATTTCATTTAACCCTGGAAGGTCGAGCCGTCCAAGGTTAAAAAGAATATCTACTAACCTGTTATCAAGAATATTTTGGCAAGCAGCGGTGTAATGACCAGACGATAAAGAGCCTTGATGCAAACATAAACCCCAAAGTTTATATCTAGCTTTTCCAAATATTAATCCATCCAAGGGATAGGAACAACTTGTAGTTTTCTTCACGTACACCCCATCTCGATTTGCAGTGTAACTAAAAAAAAAAATAAATTTAATAAAAATGATTTAAATTTAGTAATAATTACCGTTTCAATAAAATCGTTAAAATCCTAGGTAGATAAGTTACTTTTCGATCAAACGCAGACGGTTTCTCACAATCATTACAAAACAATGTATTAACATCACAAGTTGTCATAAAAACATGCACCAATTTTTCCAAAGAAGTATTACCTCTCAAAGGCATATCAAGAATGAGCACATTTTCAGTCTCAAATCGCATTTCGCGTTTTAAACATTTCTGACACTCGGTGTCCATACGAATTTGATGGTAAAAATTATTAATAAAGAATGATTCCTTTTGCTGTGTAAGTCGATAAAACGACGTACGATCTGCAGGCAAATATCGCGCCATCTCCGGAATATCACGGGCTACATCATCGCTCAAATAACTAAACACAATCATGAAAAACTCGTTAGCATCTTCGTGATTGCCTCTGCGAAAATCTGGGTACAAACGAGTTATGGCATTGTAGAAAGTGGTCGGTCTAACCGCGCTACTATGACCCATCCACATTTGTTTAATAAGATCGCTAAATTCCAAGATTAGTTTTGGGTGTTTAGTGGTTATTTCGTTTCTGTATTCACCACTTATACAATAGTATCTTAAATATGGAATATGACGCAAACATTGGATAATGGAATTCATGTAACAACTATTTTTTATGTTAACTAATCCGTTTAAACCTCTGTCAGAAGAAATAGGTTTAAGAGGTTTTGTAGCGCGGTTTACTTTTGGTGGAATGAGTTTTACCAATTCTGGCGGTGGTGGTCTTTTTACAATTTCTTCAGAAGGCACTGGTTTATTATGCGAGGAATCGCCTACTATCGGTTGTGGTTTCTTTTCCTCCTCTTTTTCTTTCTCACCTTCTTCCAATTCGTACTTCTTTAATTCTTCGGCTACTTTACGCCGCTTTCTAGATACATCAACAATGCTTCTTTCAAGATGTAACAGCTCCGGGCGATTAAAATAATCAGATTCATTCAACTTATGCGTTTTCACTTCTTTTATCATTACTTTCTTCATTTCATCTTTTCTTTCGTAATGAGCACGTCGTTGCAAATCACAAGATGCTCTACTGTATTCCAGTCGTTCCTTTTCAGATGAAGAATATTCCGAACTTTGCATCATTATTAAAAGATTTTCTTCAAATTGTAACAATTCTTTTTCGGTTGTCTCAATTATTTGGCATAATTTAAGAAGCTCTAAGAACATGTTTTCTAATATATCCTTAGGAGTCACACTTACGATTGACGTGTGACCAAAACGTTCCATTGGAGGATAATTAATCGCATCCAAATTCAAGATATCATCCAAATCGCCATAACGATCAGTACAAACAACATGCGGATTTGTACTGTGTGTCGGGTACATATCAACAAAATCGACGTATCCGCCGTTAAGTACATATGGAGCATGATTGTAATTTTTGTTAACATCCCACTGCAAAATAATAATTAATTTTGAATAATAAAGAAAATATTATTTATATTACAAGTGTTAATATATCGTTTAGAATTTTTAACTTGGATGTTTGGAAGCTTTCTTTCACCGTGTCGTTGTCCAATAACAAAATGTAGATGTATTCATCACGTTTTGCAAATTTATCTTTCGTTACTTTATCCAACTTTTCTTCTAATTTAAAAGCGGACAATCTACAAATAATAATGTGAGGATTGGACCTTCTATAATGTCAAAACTTACCCTCTTTCAATAAGATTATTATCAATATTAATTAAATGATAATTTCCATTTAATTTTGATTCATTGAAATGCGTCGAAGATCTAATATCAATAATTAACATATTTTCAGCAACATTAGGCAACTCTTGATACAATTGTTGAGATGAAATAAAAATATCATCACCTAATATGAAATGAAAATCATTGTTATACAGTGTTTGACTTAAAACTCCCAGGCTAAGTATCTCTGGAACGGCTGTTCGACCACTACGGACAAACGTATTTATAATAATACGTGTTAACCGTTTGAAATATCAAAAAAAGTTTCAAACAAAATCTCTCTGCGAGATATTTGATTGTTAATTACCGAGATTATTAAGAAGCATTTTTTAAAGGGCTTAGAAGAGGTGTAGATAATTATTAAACGAACACTTTTACTCAATAATAAGATTTTTTGATATTTCATTAAATAAAGAAATTCCCACGCTGAAATATTGTAATAATTTGTATTCAATGGTAGATAGAGTACGCACGATCTCGCTAAAACTGGTTCGCCACACCACCAATCCTTTGAGGGCGGGGCTAATACAAAAATTAACAAATTATTTCGATATTTCGTCGTGGGAATTCCCAATTTTACTCCTTTATTTTATGAAATATCAAAAAATGTTATTTAAAAAAAGTATTCGTTAACAATAATTAATCAAATATCTCGCAGAAGATTTTTGTTTGAAACTTTTTTTGATATTTCAAACGGTTAACGCGTATTATTCAAAATACGTTTGTCGTAGCGGTCGTAGTATTGTTACAATACGCTTTTATTAGGTGTAATCGAAAACTATGCAACTTTCTTTATCAACATTGATTTGAAAAACTTAGTAGTTTCGAGACAATTAAATGTGATTTTAATTTATGGTGAATGTCGCTGAAATTCTTCGGAAGCGGTATTATTATAAAAGGTTCATAAATTTATCCACAAACATTACCAATTTTGGAACATTTAAGAAACATAAACGACAGAGAGAAAAACGAGTTTGAGCGATATCGGTTGAGTTTTGGCAACTTGCTGAATAACATTCTGAGGTGTAACGAAAGCATAACAATGGAATAGTATGCAAGCAAAACAATCGATATTGGTCTTAAGACAACCTCCTTTTAATCAACAAGTCACCTGGAGTTTAAGCGACTCATCCAATTTTCATATTTTTCTCGATATTGACGCATCTGAGAGCAAAAATAAAAGAGAGCAATATTGTTAAGAATAAAATTTGCTATAACTATTGTTTCAAAAGTTTTTATGTAATATGCTCCGTTTCCCAAATGTTACCGTTATGCAATAAATTCATCCAATTTTCATATTTTTCTCGATATTGACGCATCTGAGAGCAAAAATGAAAGAGAGCAATATTGTTAAGAATAAAATTTGCTATAACTATTGTTTGAAAAGTTTTTATGTAATATGCTCCGTTTCCAAAATGTTACCATTATGCAATAAATTCATCCAATTTTCATATTTTTTTCGATATTGACGCATCTGAGAGCAAAAATGAAAGAGAGTCCAGGTGAAACTCAGAGTGCGTGCATGAAAATGGAAGTAATTATTATTATGGTGAAAAATTTATTTGGTGACCTAGAATGTAATTCTGTTTTTTATTTTGTTAATGTTTTGTTATTTATGTTAAAAAATAATGTTGAGACCACCTTATTGGTTTATATGAATAATTTTATTTCAATCCTATCCTTCTTTAAAGTTAAATATCTTCGAATCTACTAAATATTGAAATTAATGTTAACACATCTTGCGCGGGCACTTTGCCGCCAAAGTTTAGTCGTTTCCCGCTCAGGATGTGAAATCCGCGCAAAACGAGTTTAGTCGCTTCCCGCGCAAGATGTGTTAATAAAGAAAGTTGCACATGCTTTATCACATACACCTAATAAAAAGTTAGTGATGAAGGGAGTTTCTTTTGATTGCAGCGTCATCTTTATTTTTGTATAATGAATAATAATTCTTACAAAACTAAGATATCTCAACCCATTTCAGAGATACTTGGCGTGGGAGTTTTATGTTAAATTTGATTCAATATGATTTACCAAATATATTAGAAACACTTTTATCATCGACTTTAATTGTTGTGGTTGGTTCTTCAGGTACTTCACTTAATTTTTTCTGAGCCAATTGATCATAACGTCTTTGAAGAGATTTTTGAAGTTCTGTGTATAGTTCGCCAACTTCCTTTCGCATGGAGTCAAATTGGAGCTGCACGAAATGCTTGTCGGTGTCACGACGATAAATGACTTCAAGTAGTTTCAAAAAACGGAATGAGTAGATGTAGGCCAATTCGTTATCTTCCCTGCTTTGATTGATCTGGTGATACATTTGCTTCGCCAGTTTGTACAAACTAAATTTTAGGTTAATATTTTTCTTGTGTAAAAATTAAAACTTACCCTGCTGGTTTAGACTTGTACATGCTTTGAAAAGCAGGCGTAGTAGCCTGCTTATTCAATTCATCCATGCACTTGGCGTAATGTAAATCAACAGGCATTTTGGAGTTGCTTTAAAAAAAAGTAATAAACATAACCTCATCTTTGAATTAAGGATTAACATTCAATTTACCTCCTTTATATGCGTTCTCAATAATAAAATAATTATGTTGGAATTACATTTAATCGGAAAAGGTTGTTTTTATTTTATTTTAATCACAACACTTAAAAACATTAACTTAGTTGTTTACATTACTAACAAATTCGACCATTTCACATCAACTATAGGAAACTACCTTATCGATACCATATCGACACAATTTTATAGGAACCTGTAAATAAGTTACTTTATTACCGGCAGATTCAAATTTAAAGAATAGTATTAATTAATGAAAATTTGTTGGGTGTCCAGTAGAACGGAGTGTTCCAGAAAACGCAAAATTTACATACTCGCAATGCATGAGGGACCGTCTAAAGCGGCATCCTGCACATTTGAATACAATGAGTGGATTCGCTTCCTGTGCCCCGAAATCGAATTATCGCGGCGCGACGAAATCGGAATCACCAAACTAGGGGGGAAGAGAAAAAAGGGGTTGGTGTTTCTGGACGCCTGATTTATTGCTGCCCATTTCAATCATAAGTACCGAATAATGGCTATTGTGTCATAAATCTCGGGCAATATGGCCTAACTCTACGTTACGTGTATGTACATTTTGATGATTGTACCGGTACGTTGCTGCCGCTACCAGACGGAACCCCAAGTGAAGAGCCCCATTAGATAACAAAGTGCCGGTTTGGTGCGCATCCGTCCAGTGCAGGACTTGAGGAAAACTTGGGTGGAACTCGGCGAACCGTTAACATTAAGAAAGGGTTCATTTAGAATACTCGTTTCTTTAAATATCAAGTAGTATTAAATTTTTATAAAAATTATCGTTTAAATTGATTTTAAAGAAAACAAAATATACGTATTAATATCATAAATATTAACATCATAAAAATAAAGAGAGCAATTTATTTAATAATCAAGTATTAGATTGATTATTAAATAAATTGAAAAGAAGGAACATGAGATGTTATTAACAAATGAAGAATAGATTAAAGAAATAGAAAAATCTGAAGATTTTCGTAAGATCTACGAGCAAACAACTAGCATCTATGGCATTGTGGGGCTGTCAAATGGGTGATATATCGACGCCGGTCGGTTGAGAAGGCCCTTTTGTGGCACCGGGCGTCTTGGAGCGTGCAGCAGGCGTCTTTGACACGGTCGATGGTTTTGACAGGGCCTCGGCCGGCCCTGCGCGCACTCCGCGGAGGGAAGCAGCTGTCTGCGCGTCCACTCATGCTTGCATGGATGAACATCCACGTGGCCAGCGGATGGATTAGCTCCGTAACAGTACGCCCCAGCCTACGTTGCCATTCGCCAAGTGGCGACCAAAGAGGGCTAAAAAATAGACGACGCCGAAACGGCTTTTGGGGCCGCCTTCTCCGGATCTTGCGCCTTCTGCCGGCTGCGTAGAGATTTTTTTCCTCCGGAAGTGCCCCCGATTTTCTTCGCGACACGTTTCCTGTGGCGTAAAAAAATAGGATGTTCCATAAAAAACAACCCTAAATACATAAATCAAATCATTTTTATCAACTCTATTTTTAAATAACTCCTCCATCATAACTGTCAAAATGAAACATTTTTACTTTGATATATTTAGTAATAATCTATTCTAAGAGTAAGATTTTCGAAAAAGATAGATTTGTTAATAGACGGCGCCACAGAACATACATCGATTTTAAAAATAGAATCATTTAACTCCGTAAACGATATTTGTCCAAGAATCCTCGTACGCAATTTAGAAACGAAAAGACCTTGTACGAAGATCGATATTTATAAAAGAGCGAAAGCATGAGTAACATCTTCAGGTAGTCGAGCACTTACATAAGGCGTTATTACTCATGTTCAACATCATCCCAGCAGGATTCGGCTTTTTTCCTGCTTAGTATAGTGCCGTCTTCCGTGGGAACAGGTAGCGCTTATTGATATCTATATTTTTCGAAACAAATTCTCGCGCGTATTTACATATTGTTTTTCCGTCAATTTTTTTTTACCCGTTTAATTGGAAGATCGTGAGATCCGCGTCGGTACGGCGTCCCGTATTCCCGACGACGAGAATCGGAAGGACCTGCGTAGCTCAGAAGTAGGTTGTGTATTTTTAAAGCGGTTGCGAAATTCCAGTCGCGAAACGCGATTTCGAATCAACCTATCCCGCGAGAGACGCATGGGAAAGCATCTCTCTATTTTGCATCGAATTGGATCTTTTCCAAAACATTAACAACTAATCAATTTTAATTCGGACTTTATTATTAATTATTATTTATTATTTATACAAATATTCATTTGGGTATTGTTTTGATGTTAGGTGTTTAAATGGAAAAAAAATGGTACTCTTATGTAGTAATGGTGTAGGGCGAAAAACAATACCTGTAGAATGTTTGTGTAAGTGTCTGTGTATGGTGGGTGTTTTGATGAGGGTGGCACAGCGTCCCGAAATAGGTTAAGGAGACGCCGTGGACGCGGAGGACGTCGAATATACACGCATACGTGGTGTATGTAGTTCAAGAGTATTAAGGAGATGTAAAGGTATATTAAAGAAAACGGTGGCGTATGGGGAAGGTGTATGGTATAGACAGGACGAAACGTCAGGAGTAAGAAGAGCCCAGGAGCAGGAGGCAGGAGCAAAAGGAGCAGCTGGCAGCCTTCGCATTAAAACGGGCAGGCTGCATCGAAGGGTAGCGGGTAGCACGGTCCCAGAGCGGAAGCACAGGACCCCTTAGAGCGCTCCCCTCCCTCGAACCAGACGCTACCACACGGTCGTCCTGTCACGCCGCTCGCGGACACGGACGCAGTCTGCACTCGGCGTCCGCGTCGCAACGATCTCCACGATCTCACTACTAAAACAGAGTTCGTCCGCGTCTACGGCGTTTACGTGAGTTACGGTGATGTGCCGTTATGGGTTCCCCAAAGTGGTCTAGTGCTGTGACACCGTGATCAAACGAACCCGCCGAGTTATAACAACCCGAATTTAAAGCTTATGGCGCGCTGTTCCAGTCGACGCTGTTGCTGAACCATGGATTCCCGGATTTCTTGCTGTTTTCTATTCGGATTATTCATCATCTTTATCACTAAGGTAACCAACGATTCACCCTCCCCTTAAATAAATCATCAACAAATCCTTGAAGAAGAAGCATTGATAACTCGGGGATCTTTGGCAATGCTTCCTCTCAATCATAACAACCCATAATAAAGTATCACCACCCTTAATCATCATCATCTTTCAAAAGCCATTCATTTTAAAAACTTCCTCAATTGACGCCGGATGTTTTTTGGGATTCCCCAGGTCGACGCTGCCGGCGTCTTCGAGTTGAAGCTACTGTCATTCACCAACCAAACCGAGGATTGCGACCCACCATCGTGTCCAGCTCGTTTTCGGGTCTGTCTCAAGGAGTACCAAGTGAAAATCGACGCGGCATCTCCGTGTACCTTCGGCAACGTCGTCACGTCCGCCGTCGAGGACGGCTACGCCACCCCAATTAGGATACCATTCGACTTCACCTGGCCGGTAAGAATTCCTGCGCCGGCGGTGCGTGCACAATTTTGCGCCACCTGCCTCCGCGCGACCGACTCGTACGAGGATTAACCGTCGAGGCCCCGGAACGGCCAAAGAATAAAAAAATAAAATATACAAAAAAATGCTGTATGCGGGCTACATCTTTGTACGTTTGTTTTCTCAGTCAAACTTAATAATATATATACTTTAAAAGCATTATAAATAAGAAATCATATATTCTTAGTGTATCAAAGGAAACGAGTTGAAAACAATATGACCCTCGTCGTTTATGTAAAAGGGTTGTCCATCGTTTCGGTCTAGCGCATATCATACCGTTGAGACGGTTAAAGAAATAATTCAAAAAAAAATCTTTAGATTTGCAACTTTCATCCAAATCATTCACCCCTATTCACCCTCCCCCTTTTTGCGAATACTTATTTATCAACCCCGTCATAAATACAATAAGTAAACGCGGGTACACCAGCACGGTTCTTTAAAAAGAAAAATGAATGGGTTTTAACAGTAAGCGACCCTCACCCTTCTATAATATAATTCCATAAGTCTTTGAAAAATTAAAAAAAAAAAAGTGTAAGATTGACTTGATTTGTTTTTGCTTCTTTTAACATTACAAAGTTTGACCGAGAAAATAAATCTGGATACCCTCCAAAACGATCTAAAATTAACGAAACTGGACGTTTTAGTGTAAATATTAAATGTGTTGCTGATTTTGATAACAACATTATATTATGGTAATGTTGTGTTTGATAACGAGATGAAAGTAATCTAGTTAAAAGTATAAAATAAGATGAAATAAAAGTGTTTGGAGTGAAAATGAAGTTGAACGAAGCGCGATCGATCCGTTCGCTTTCAGAATCGGTACGGAGTACGTCGGGATGAGGTCCGTCCGGAGATTGGACCACGAGATTGTTGTCGAGAGTGTACTTATTTCCGCTCGAGAATTTTGTTACTTATTATACGCGGTTGAAACAGGTCTCCGTGGGAACCTTACCTTGTGTATAAATTCAAATTAATTGTAATTTAGATTTATCGATCCTATCGGGTGCGGTATTTTTTTATTTTTTTTTATTTAATTCTCTTTCGACTTTCGCAAACGTCGACGGTTCGCGAATTTCTAAAACGAAAAAGAATCTAAATATTTTCACCGATACGGTAAAATTCGAAAGCGTGGAGCAATTTGAAGATGTTACGTTCTTCCTACGCCGTCGTTTCGCAACGACGGATTCCTGCTACGCGCCGCCCGCTTTTAAAAATAATTAGCGCTTTGATATTTATACCGGAGCCGTCTTATATAACCGATTATAATTACCGACTTTTCAATTACGTACCGTTTCTCAATATTATTGTAACACAATGCGCGAGAAGAAGATCCTCCATGCGCGCCCCAACGTCTCTTTACCACTCTCTACATTGTTTATAGTGAAAGTTGTTTTCTCTTTGACCAAAAAATGTTATTTCTTTTTTTACAGAGCTCGTTTTCGCTCATCGTCGAAGCTCTAAATGGCAATTCCACGGTTGACGGTAAGTCACTACTTTATTTTCTCATTTTTTTTTGTAGTAATCAACTCATTATCTACGCCAACCATTATTAAATTTATCCCGAGTAAAAGTATTGTTTTAAAAAACTAATCGCAAAATTTTCCGTTATTATAAAAATCAGAACAAAATTAAACTTAAAGCGTTTAATTCATTTTGTATTTTTAATCCGTGAAGTTAAATTAACACGGCAAAAAGCGGTGTTATTCAATTTTGGTTATTTCATTAGATTTTAAACGCTCTAAGGGTTATTAATATTCAAACTAATTCAAACAAATTCATATTATATCTAATTGAAGTTAGATTAATAAACAAAAAAAATTTTTTTTTTTAATGAAATATTTTCTAAAACATTAAACGGTGGAAGAGAGTTTGTGAGAGAGTCCGAAAAATGACTATAAGGCTTTCCAGTGTGCGTGTATCGTAAATGTGTTGTGTGTACGTGTATGAGTGTGTGTGTATAGAGGGGAGAGCATGAGAGGACGGTTATTTTGTATAGCACCTGGCCGGCGTACAGTTAGCGCCATTAAAAAGTAACCCCAAGAGTTATTTAAACAATTCTTTTCTTCTTATCGGGAAACGCAGCTGCCCAGAATTTCCCGGTTCGTCCGCGCAAGGTAAGAAACGGAAGCGTCATATCTCGAACAAATTTTGACAGCTGGTCCGCACGTGCGACGCTCTTCTCCTACGGAATAAAAACCGATAACTACATCGGTTACGTAGAGATTTTTTAAAATTTCACCTAAAGATGTAAAGAAGCGAGCAAAGAAAAATGTAAAAGTGTAAAGAAAAAAGTATGGGAAGTAAAAAATATATATGAGATTTGGTCGGGTTTGCGGGTTTCCTCGTTTATTTAGTGTAAAAATTGCGATTGAATTGAAATTTCCCCCGCCCGCGCTTTAACGGGTCCCCGTTAATTAAAAGTAAAGAGAACCGTCTCGTTCTCAGCATTTCTCGGCGGTTCCCGTACGGTTTTTAGAAAAAAAAAAAATACTCGCGAGTGAACCTTTTAGATTTTCGAACGGCCCGGGACCGGATATCCTGCCCTTTGCAGAGCTCCCCCTAATATGGAATATTATCTCAGACTTCCTCCTCGGCGCGGCAACATGATAAGAAGGCTCTCTTCCCGCACCTGAACTCGTTTTATTGAAGAAAGAGAAAAGGAAAATAATCATCTCCCATTGGGACGTTTCGTCGTTTCTGAAGAGATTTGAATCAGGGCCGGCCAAGGCTTAGAATAAAAGGTGTCTTAGTGTAGCCAAGTACACCGGATACAGCTGCGCCCGACTCCGACAGGGCGCGGGGATAATGCAGGTGTACTCGCACATTTCGTCGTCTCGTAGGACGGGCCTCCGCTCTGTCTGTTTTTACTCGAAGCTACCTGAGAAATCTTCTCACGCGGAAATCTTGGCCATCTGCCGAACAATTGATTAGAACTCGACCTGACCGACAGTTTTGGACAGATGTATAACGTCGGTCAACTTTTTTTCTTCTCCAAAATTTTCTTAATGATTTCTAAAGACTCTTAACTATTACATACACACATATATATCATTAAAAGTTTAGTATTTTAGTCCAAAATATAACCTTGTGAAATAACTTTATGGATACCAAGCTAACTGGATTAAACGGTTCGAATAGGTGAAAATTGAATTGAAACCGAAGGAAATCAAAGGTGGCTTACGCATGACGTTCGTGACCACGCGGCTAATTACTACCACCGGGTTCTTATTTAAAGGTTTACGGAAAGCTAATTAAGCGAAGTGAGAAAAAAACCGACGCTGAGCCGTTTCCGGGCGTATTAATTATTTTAATATAAACCGGTAACTGTACTTAGAGAAATTCCCAAGGAGCGCTTTATGTAAGCGTCATTGTTCACGCGCTACCGCGCAATTAACGCCACTTTTATTGTTATTGTTATTTTATTATTATCCTTATATTATTATTATTATTACTATGATTCATTAATTCATAATTTAAATTTTTTTTGCAGTGTTATTAAGATTGGCAACGCAAACTTGGCTTGAAGTAGGCCAAAAATGGACGTCGCATGAAGATACATCCGATGGTTATTCATTGAAAGTAGAATTTCGAGTGACTTGTAACGTGAATTATTTTGGAAAAGGTTGCGAAAACCTGTGTCGTCCAAGGGATGATAATTTTGGTCATTTTACGTGTTCATCCACGGGCGAACGCGTATGCCTCGCTGGATGGCAGGGAGATTACTGCACGAAACGTAAGTACCATATGCCCCCGTGTCCGCCTTTTTCTCCCGAACGCGTGTTCCACTCCGCTGGCTGCTTCTTCAATTATTGCCGCCCCCCTTTCCGCCCTTCGTCGCGCCACTTCCTCGCGTCTTCCGTCCTTCTTCCGCAAAAGCATACCAAAGTTAACGTTGTCTCTTTTTGTTATAGCTCGCTGCAGCCTCGGCTGCGATGAAGTCCACGGCTTCTGCAACGTCCCGAACGAGTGCAGGTAGGATATCTTTCATTCAAAGGGCTTCCCTGGAAGCTACACACGTCCAAAACCGTCCCAGTACCTATGAATCCCACAAGAAATTCTTCCTCGTCGAAACTAGACCGGAATCGTTTATTTGGAAGTTTGTGTCGGAAACGATATCGTTGCTCAATTTAATGGTTCTAGAACCGGTTTTGCGGTTTTTAATACGTTTATCATCCTAAAGGATATAGGAGTTTATAAAAAAAGATCTTCTAATATCGGTACTTCCTGGTTAGGTTTATTAGTAATCTAGCAAATTAGTTTCGTCGGGTTTTGAAATTTTTTAATTATTTATCGGATTTATTGTTTATAGAATGGAAAAAAGAATAATCGTAAAGTAAACTTAAACTTTCTATTATCTTCTTTCTTAGAATTTAAGTGTTCCGATTACCTTTTACCCAACGATACTCTCACATGCAACAGTCTCTTAAGAGAATTGTCACTATTACATTTCAAAAAGGACAAAGACCATAAAATAATCGTAAATCAGACGTTATAGGATTATAATTATTTTATGCGATTAAATTACGTGAAATAGTTAATGTTGTCGGTTTTATTATTTCCGGTTTGTCTCTTTGATCTATCGAAATCAGTTAAAATGGTTAAAAGGTTTTGTTCGGGTCGCCGAAAGTCGGTAAATTTTCTATGATAGGAGTAACCGAAATACGTAATAATAGGAAATAGGAGGAATTGAGGTATTAGATATAGGAGATATAACGGGCGCGCGATCGTCGCTGTCTCTAATGGCGCAGGTACGCGGGAGAGAATTTCCCCGTTCGGGCGCGGAAGATGTGCAGCGCGGAGTACGCGGATTGGGACGGCGACCCGAGGTTAACCTTTCCTTGACCTGCATACTTGAAACCGGGCAGCGTGGGAAACTGTTCTGTGGGCGTGTAACATCCCCCCACCGGTCCCCGCCGGACGCCGCGGGCCCCCGCGCGCCGTCCTTAGCTGCACCGGCGACGCCGGCCGCAACTCAATGAGCCTCCCGATACGAACCGCACGGCTTCCAAATAAATACCCGATTAGAATAATAACGAGACGTGGCGTAACGGCGGCCTCTCTATTCCAGGTGCCAGATCGGTTGGGAGGGTCCCAAATGCAATCAGTGTCAACGATATCCCGGCTGCAACCACGGGACCTGTGTGAAACCTTGGGATTGTCTCTGCGACGAGGGCTGGGGAGGCCTCTTCTGCAACCAGGACCTCAATTTCTGCACCAATCATCGACCCTGCAAGAACGGCGGCACGTGCAGGAACACCGGCCAAGGCAGCTACACGTGCAGCTGTCCTCCAGGATTCAATGGCACCGACTGCGAAAGCACAATCAGCGGATGCAGCCCATCGCGATGTTCCAACGGGGGAACCTGTATCGGAAACGGCACGTCGGTCTCCTGCCTCTGTCCTCCGGGTTTTCAAGGATCTCATTGCGAACAAACCTCGGTTTGCAAAGAAAACCCTTGTCAAAACGGGGGAACGTGTTCGGAAACCGGAAGCGCGTACAAATGCGAATGCCCGGCCGGTTTCGGTGGCGCTACCTGCGAAATCCGGCTCGGCGAGTGCTTCTCGAACCCGTGCAGGAATCAAGGGACCTGCGTTGAGAGTCCCAACGGATACGAATGCAAATGTCTCTCGGGATTCGTTGGGAAATATTGCGAAGTTAACTACGACGATTGTGTAGGAAACCCGTGCTTGAACGGGGGAACTTGTATTGATATGACAAACGAATTTCAATGTAAATGTGTGCCCGGATTCGTCGGAAACCTTTGCGATAAACGAGTCGACTATTGCCTAGCGAAACCTTGTGCTAACGGGGGAACTTGTTTACAACTAACCAACGACTATCAATGTAATTGCGCTCCGCGATTCTCGGGTAAAGACTGTAGCGTCGAAGTCGACGAGTGCAGCGGAAACGTCTGCCAGAACGGCGGAAGTTGCGTGAACAGAGCCCACAGCTTCGAGTGTTTATGCGCCCCAGGATTTAGCGGAAAAGTTTGCGATGAGTCCGCCTCGAGCGTCGCTCCCAGCGCCAGAGTATCGTCCGAATCGAATTTCACCACGGAACACGTAGTCGTTATCGCCACCATTTCCACCTTCGTGCCGCTGCTCGTCCTAGTCGCCGTTGGCGTCATCATTTGTATGAAACACAGGAGGAAACGCGAGAAGGCCAAAGAAGACGAGGAGGCGCGTCTTCAAAACGCTCAAAACACGGCGAGCAGCAGTTTCGCGAAACGCGGCGCCGCGATGTCCGCCGACGCCCACATGATCAAGAACACGTGGGGCAAGTGTACCAACAATGTGCACTCCTCCAACTTAACCTCCCTGGACGATTGCAGTGTGTCTAATGTTAGTGTTAGCGAAGGCGATGCCTTCCCAAAGACATCTCAAGTGATCGACGGCCGGCCAGTGTACAGTTTGCAAAGGACACGATCGCAAAAACAGTTGAACACTGAACCGTTAGTACAGTGCAGGAATCCGTCGACCCATTTAGCTGCCAAGCTACAGGAACCCGACTATGAACACATCAAGCGTTTGTCTGTGATGTCTAATACTTCATCGGCTGTGTGTGGCTCTAGGTAAATATACATTGTTTTATTTTAATTATTATACTCTTATTAAGCAATTAAAAATTAGTACGTTTTTATATAAATATAAAATAATCTAACGGTACCGTTTCTTTTGTCTATTATAGTGATGCCTCATCTCCATATAAAAGGCCAACGGAAAAAGAGTCCAATGGCGTCTATGTGATAGAAGAACACTTTCACCCTCAAGAAGCGTTAGCGACGGGCCTCTTCGCGACCGAGGTCTAGTATCCAAATAAAAAAAACTAACAAACAAAATGAGAAAATGAAACCAGTGCTCTGTAAATATAACTGTATTTATTCTCCCCACTGATTAACTGATAGTTGTGCGTTATTTATGAATGCGTTTTCGAATGTTGAAGTATGTACTTAATAATAATATTGTAATCGTAGTGGACTTCGGCGCTGCGTTAACAGCGACGTCGCCGCGCGGCTCGGCGCTGTCCGTAAATTTAGTTCGTCGCGATACCGCAAAGTGAACCCTCGCAAAATCTTGTTAATGGACATAATTATTTATTAATTTTCTATGCCTTGTAAGATAGTCTTTTTCCTCTTACTTTTAGCGTTTGTTTAGCTTTTGGCCATTGGCACTAGATTTTAGGGTTCATGCACCAAAGATTTTGGCGCCGCGCTCCGCGGCCAACCTCGTTTCTGCGCAGTGGCGCCGCCCGTTCCAGTAAATGACAAGCTACCACGATGATGTTGTGATTTTTTTTACACGCTAAGTCAAAAATTGTGAGATCAAGTGACAAAACGGTCCCACGTAATAAAGACAATGCCATTGACTTTGAATCCGGGAAGAATTTTACAACTTTTTGTGTACATTTAGTGAGCGTTAGTTTATAAGTCTAAATAGCATGTTTTTTTTTTCAAATTATGTTCCTGTTATTATTAATATTATTATTTAAACTAAGTCATTTTATACGAAAGTTTTTCCCGCCCCCTCTTTTTTTTTTTTCTTTCGGGGGCTTTCTGAAAAATCCACAAGGATTAAATTGGGATTTTTTAAAAAGCTCAATCTAATAAGTATTTAGAAATAAAACAGAGAACCGTTTTCAATTCTTTGTACTTATTAATTTCCGACCACTTGTTGTTCCGAATCGCCACCCCTTTTGTTCGTCTTTTATTAATTATTATTATTTTTGTAATATATATTGTACATTTGTCCTTCTTGTAGGAGAGACGACCGTAATCGAGCAAACTTGGTCGCGTCTCAATCCTCCCTTTATTTTTATACGTAAAAATTGAATTAAATTAATTTTGTCGTTGTACGGAGGCGCGTTTGTGCGTCATTTTTTTGATTATATAAAAATACTGTGAAAATAATTTATACTTGTCTTATTTTTTCCACCTACTCCCGTTATATTATTAATAAATAGGTAAGTACACAAAACGATTATCTTTGACAACCGTTCTTGAGAAAATACATGAACATTCAAAGACAAGACGATCAGGCAACATAGGTTGGCATTAAGGCCGGACATAAATCTTTTCTCTAACAAGGTGAGGCTCCCGAGAATGTAATGAAGAAGCAATGCAAACATTAGAGAATTCCTCTTCAAGGATTCAAAAAGAAATATACAAAAACAATTTTGAAACCTTAAAAGGTTTCGTTTGGAGTAATCCATAAAACGTAATAAAATGTAAATCATTTCTTTTTTTGACATTAAAATATACTGTTGGTTGATTAAGTCGCATCTTGGGGAGGTAGTTTCGAAACGATGGCAACCTGGGCCAATAAATTAAGCGAAATCTCTTAAATACCGGCAGCTGCGTAGTTATATAAAGTTTTGCGCGAAGTAGAAAAAGTCGCGAATCTCGGTTTTCATAACACCGAGTGAAAGGAAGACGTCGCAGCGGTTCGAGATCTACCGTCTATTCGAAACGACGTCACCGCAGTACAAAGTGTTGGCATTCCTGCATCTCCTGTCGCCAACGAAAGCTTTGAAAATCGCGGCCTTCGACGAATGACGCGCGCATGCGTCTTGAAGCTACTGGCCGGTTTCTTTTCGAAAACAGATACGGCCTGCTACACGTGCTCCAGTACAGGTGGCACCTCGGGATTCGTAATTCGATCGAACCATCTGCTCGCCCGTTCCCATGAGGTTTTGTTTTTCTACGTTCCGAGGAGAGGAGCACCCACCTTCTCTGCCCCGCGATTTTTATCTCGCTGCTCATAATTTAATGGCGCGCTGCGCAGAAATTATCTTTGCGCGGATTATTTCAAGAGAACACCTACTCACACTTCTCTTTTTAAGAAAACGATTTTTAGCTTTTTAAAGCAGCTGTCACATCTTTACTTTATCATACATCAAATTAACTCGACATTAAGATTCTAATCAAAAGAGGGTTTGTTGTGATTAAATGATACGTTATATGTAAATTTTAAAGTGGTCATCACATTTAATCTTTATTTTCTCTCATTATTTTGATTGGACGGTCGCGGTACATCACTCAACGATAAATGTCTTAGTATTGCAGCTTGCAGAATTATTACTATCAATCAAAGTATCGAATCGATTCGATTAACTCCCTTATATAACATCTGTTAAAAACACAAATTTGATTACATTATTAGATTCGACTTCCTTTTATATTGATTAATTAAGATTGGAGTCAGAAAGCTGCTTAAGATTTTTTTTCTAAATTATGATCAAGTGAAGAGTTAAGGACTTCCTGTAAACAGGAAGTGTGTTAAAGGTGGCAGTCCTCAAGAAAGAAAACAGCCCTTTTCCCAAGGGAACCAACGGAGGAGCGCGGGTGAGAACAAAGATGCAAATACAAAGAAGAGATTAGAGGCCGAACAGAAGGTTAGAAACGGCTGCTGTACCAATTTATTCGCCGCCAGCTTCTGCTCTCGCAGATGTTTTTTGGGTACCTGCGATCCGGCGACATAAGGCAAGCCGTTGACGAGATGAACATTTGCCCGAGATGAAATTGCGCTGTTGCGGTAAAATAATCGAGCGCCAGGTATGTGCGCTTAAGAGGGGGTGTGGTCTCCACCAAGATTTTTACGACGCACTTCCGGTTCTGCACCCACGTGGGAAACATTTTATAAACCATATGATATTCTCTATCTTAAACGATCCCATATAATACATATATCATTTCCAAATTGAACTCTAATTGGATGAAACACTGTTGCAATTCGTTGGCGAAATTACGTAAAAAAGAGATACGCGCCAGTCATGAAAGTACGAAAACGACCGTCGTTTTGGAAGAAACGCGTCCACCTGGCGTCAACGCGACCACCTGAAAGATCCAAAAAAAGAAGGACCACTTCTTTCGGCTGCTCCCAAATCAAAACTGGACGGAAAATTTCGCTAATTTCCTGCTGGATGGGAGCGTCGAATTGACGCCCTCAAATCAATACTCTCGGGTTCGTAAGCTACGGAAACTGCCAGGCATCAATCCGGGATCAAATAACAATAAAACAAATACCTCAACACAAATCCCGGGAAATTCGGTTAACTGTATGAAGTGATTTATATGCTAATTAGATTTACTTTGTAACATAATATTCTTCTTAATAGAATAAGAAGAGATCTTTAAATATATTTAGTTGATGATTAATCTTTCTATCATCTCTATATATACGATGTAAAATAAACCATCTATATATAAAATCACGAATCGGTGCAGTAATAAATCTCGAATAAATGGTGTAAATACTTACTCATTATTAGCAATGACAATAAAAAAAATCATTTTTGATGTTTTTAATTTACTTTAATATTATTATTGATAAATAATAACCATAAAGAAACAAATTCATAAAATACGAACGATTTAATAATTCTAATAACCCGATTTATAAAATCAGACATAAATACCATATGGAGTTCTGTCGCCTAGATGACTCGCCTTTCTATCGCCAATCGTATCGAGTATACACATATAAACTTTTTTAGTTCGTAAATTAAATAAGAATTTTAAGAATTAAAAGAGATTATACCCCAGCTGTTAACAGAAAGTCCCTTTTTTGTGATAGCAGATTGTGCTTACAAAAATAAGCGATATAAAAGAAGAGAAAAAACATAAAAGAAGAAAAACACGAAATAGGACGTATACCTATCGGCCGTTTTTGGGGGACAATAAGCGGTTTTTGTCTAGGAGCATTAGGATTCAGGCACGTGCCACATGTCGGGGAGGTCTTTGGAGAAGAAGGTACCTCTTTTCGGAACAATGCACAATAGAACAGATTCTACGGACGGGGAATAAAAAGATTCCCGCGGCCCGAAACCCTTCCGCGCAGCTTGTAAAATTTAAATTTTGATTAGTTTCGTAAGGAGGGGCTCAAGAAAAGGTGGCCGGTGCGAAAGGTGTTTTTCGAGGAGCCAGTTGTTTTTTCGGCTTCATATCTGGGACCTATATGTTCAATCACACCAAAACTGCATCAAACATATGGCACTTTCCTTGCAGCTGCTCTCAGATCCACACAAATCTACCTACAGGCCGGGCACCTGAGTCTCTCAGTATCCATTTCCAAAGAAGAAAAACTATACAATATACAAAGAAATCACAAAGACCTTTCTAAAGTCTAAAAGTCTCAAAAGTTCTTCTATATCAATCTTTTCGAGTCCTTTTAAATTTCGCTATCATTATAAAACAATTAAGATTTTTATGCAACTGTACAGTCTATGCTGAATGCAGAAAACAGATTGAGTTTGATTTAAAATAATTCTCTGACAAATTGGCAATAGGTTGATAATGAGCCCATTAGGGCCGAGATCCATGTGCGGCGCTAATACGATGCCATGTGCTGGTACAGCGGTGGGAGAGGCGTCTCGACGGCAGTGAATCGGATAGATGTGTATAGTTTATCCGAGGACCAGGTACCCAAAAGGTGTTCCATGTGCCAGCAACAGCTGGTAACTAGAACGGACCTCTTTAGCTCGCGGCTTAATGACGTACATAAATTTTAATTCGATAATTCCTACGCGACCAAATCTTCACCGTTCTCTTCTCTCGTTAATTGTAATTAACGCCAATTATACAAGAATTAAGAAAAACTTTATACTATAAAGTTAATTCATTAACATGATTTCATATTAACTAATTACATTATTTTTTGAATGAATAGTTAATTAAAATAGAAACCTGCATTGAAAACGAAAGTTGCAGTATGGCAATTACATGCAATTAAATGAATTAAATATAATTTAAGCAATTATAATTTTAGTTTTCAGAAAAAAGTGTGTTAACGCGTGTTACAGGTAAAAAAAAGAACGTAAATAAAACAATTAAAAACATTTAAACATCGTTTTATTTTAACAAACTCCATACAAGCTTTGTACAAAACAAAAATTTGTTTTGCGTGTATAAAAAAACTAAAGACAAACTTAAGGAACCAGCTGTAAACGGGCCATAGCTCGCCAATGAGCTATGGCTGCATTGAAAAGGGGGTTGCGTGCAAAACGCTACTACGCAACGAGGGGGGCCTTAGACACCCACATAGCGATAACGCACGAGTGTAAAGAAAGGTATGCGGTACATATGGAAAACAATCGAAATCGCCACACATGGTATATCGTTTGGAGAAAATATACAGTATCGTTAAATATAGATGTGTTATATTACGGTTTCTCGTGCAGCCGCTAGGGCGCGATCTCTTCTTTGTTAAGTAATGCAGGCTATCACATTAGTAGAGCGGCGCGCGTTTCTTTGACTATCTGTTGCCCAAATGCGGTTGATCGGGCTGCGGTTGTTGTTTAAGCCTAATGCTATCTACAGATTTATTAGCATCGGCTCGTCTGGATGCGTTATGACCATCTGATCGAGCCCTTCCACGCAAAATCCTTCCGGTATGTCCATCTCTTCCACCATTCAAAGTTACGGGAGGTACATTAACCACTTGAACCGCCTGCGGTTCATCTGTTATTGCTCGTCCATTTTCAGACTCTCTTTGATCCTCTTTTAACTGGGTCATGGTAGCCAATAATAACTCCTCAGCAAATTCTCTTATACTGTTATCGTCTGGTTCTGCGCTATTCTGGAGGGAAAGCTCTTCTAAAAGGTTTTCCAAGAGGAAGTGGTTAGCTGCTTGCGGAGTAGCCGATGAATTGGTATTCGAAGGCTGCGATTGAGATGCGCTTGGGTTTATCAGGAAGCCATAACCAGGGCTAGCCGCTGAAGAGGCTGCCTCCCTCAAAGTGTTTTGGGACTGATTTTGTCTACGTGGCATTCTTTCTAATTGTTGTCGGGCTGCGTTCACCTGTTGTCGTTCGAGCTGAAGTTGCATCTGTAGTTGCTGAAGCTGACTGGGGGTGCTATTCGTATTACTAGTTGAGCGACGTACTCCAGATAACTGCGAGAGCAATTCTGCAATCGGATCCACGGATTCCCTGGACGAAGGAGAAACAGAGGTCAACCCACCAGATCCAAATACGCTTAGAAATAAGCCAACTGTTAGTTAGCGACACTACTAAACAATTATTGAAAAAAGCGATGGAAACTGTGAGCTTGTATCACGTGCATCGTTCTAGTATTCAAACACTCTCAACAAAAATAAAAATGCAAAAAGTGTGAGTTACTAAATAAGCGCTATAAAGTATCAAATGTCTTGTTGGTGTTTGAAATGTATTACAAGAAGTGTCACTAAGATAAAAGTTTTTGAGGTTCAAAATACCTGAAATGCATGTTGGACCGACGTGGTCTTGAGGTTTGGCCGCCCCTGGTACCCCCGGCCAAGTGCGCCGAATGGGTAACGCGACGCACATTGTGGCGCGTCGCCATCGGCTCATCAAGGAAGGAGATGAGATCCCGGGGCCCCGTGCGGTGCTCCAGAGTCAAGTGACCGGCGAAGTCGTCCGTCATCAGATTGGGGTCCCCACCTGGCATCGCGGCACACACCGGGCAAACCTACGACAGCGTCCCTTAAGGTCACGAGAGCCATGTGGCCCGGTGCAACCCCACATGTCTAATTGCCGGCGGAAAAAATTTCGGCCCCGCCTGGCGACAGGCGAAGCGCCGCGGGAGGCTTGCGACGCTCACAACCGATTTTAGCTTTGATTTTTTTCACCCGAAATGGCAACCAGACAGTGATGGATTTTGTAATTTAGTAATTTGATATTTCGTTTTGAAACCCGAATCTAAACGACTACGGTAACCACATAATACTTAATTAACAATAAAAAATAAGATTTGCGTTCGCAAAAATGTTTTGTGTCGACGGCGATGTAGGGGGTTAATCGCGAAAAGACAAATCGAAAACCGTAAAAGAATCCCACGGCGGCCCTCAAATATTTTGAATCGCCTAAGCAGCCCGCAGATAACCGCGCTTCTCCCATGTGGCTCGAAGCGTCACGAGGGGAATCCGAGTTATCCAAGGCTCAGGACGGGGAGGAGTTACAAAACGGACAAAAAACGCGCAATGGGAACCGCAGCGAAGGCGGTCGTAAATTTTTCGCCAGAGTGAATGCATCATTGTGAATTTTGGTTTAATTGTTACCGAACGAAAAAATCGTTCCCAGTGAATCTGCCCGGCTTTTTCCACGGATTTTATTGGGGATATAGGGGATTCCGCGCGTTTTTCGCGAACCTCTCGCCGACCGGGATCGAAACAAATTGCCCGACAATCCTATGTCCGCGAATTTCGATGGTATGTGCCCATTCGAATTCTTTCTAGTCGAACAATTATTGTTTTCAAAATTTATTGTTATAAAAAAATTGTTTTTTTTTATTCTCTAAATGTACCACAGTCATTTAATACTAAATATTATAACTTTCTTTTTAGTTATTTATAAAGATTATTTTTCAAACATATAGGAGATTTATATATGCTTATTAATCTTTATACCCACACACTTACCACTTCAAAAGAAGTATCTGCATGATCAGCAGTGACATGTTCTTGAAGAGTAGCTTCTGTGTATCCCATACGTGAACAATATGGGCAAGTGTATGACTGTGGATGATCATTAGAAAGCGCTTCTCCGCCATAAAACAAATCTAGAAATCAAGATACGTTTGCTACAATTGTAACTTTTGAGAAAAACACCTACCAAAGTCAGCTCGTGTTAAAATACATTGCATTGGATGGTCAGTAGTGTGTCTAGTGTTTGTGGCCCCAGCTTCATAGCAGGTATCGCAAAGGTCATAATCATAACAGACTAGACATTTGTAACGTCGCCCCCGGAAGTTGCCTTTGAGGCAGGAATCGCAACTAACCCCTAAGAGAAATCGTTCAATAGAAATAATGAAAACGCGTATTAACAAGAAAAAAAAACAGCCGATCAACATACCTTCGTGTGCGCTCATCTCAAAATTGGAACCGGAACTTCAGGTAACCTAAATAAACGAGATTAAAAAATAAATATTCACTCTTAACAACCTAACCCAACCAATCATGGACGCGAATCGAGCAAAGTTAGCCGTGTAAACCGACCAACAGGGTAGTGACTAACTTCACATCACCTCTTATATCCAAATTACATTCGATTGTATATTAAATTTTCCATTTATGGATCCATAAACTGTTTAAAGGAGTGTTATTCAAATTTAACAACTATTCTAAAAATTTTAATGAAAATCTTTTTTGTCTGTTTTCATGAAGAAATTCATTTATTGGTAAGAGGGTGACATCTATAGACGAACTTTATATTTATATAATTTTTGTTCTCATTAGATGGCGCTTGAGTATCCTGCCATCTAATGTTGATGCTCGCAAACTCATAATAACGCCATCTTTGGATTATAATTCGAAAGAATAGTGATGGCGCATGTGCAGTTATGACCGCTGCGTGGCGTCTGCTGTCACATTCTGTTTGTACGTGTGTTTTGCTGTGATATCTTACTGTGAAATACAGGATTTTTGTTGAGAATTAATTAACCGTTAGGACAGATCGGTTAGCGATGTCTACTTCCGGTGACTTCGGGAATCCGCTGCGTAAATTTAAGTTAGTTTTTCTAGGCGAACAAAGCGGTAAGTTCATTTTTCCGTATTAGGGCAGGTTCTTTGGGTATTTGTTGAGCATTTTAAGTCAGGCGTAGCCAGATCAATAATTGATAAAATACACGGTCGAAGTAATCGTTTACATCATAATTAAACATCAATTTCAACTTTCTCCCTTCAGTTAATCTCCCATCAATTCGTTCAAACCCAACCCAAAGACTTGAACCGCTATTAGGTTAGAACTACCTCATTACCTCCAAATACCTTACATTCCTTTTAGAATACTTTTATATGACATAATTTGTTATTTTTCCAGTCGGTAAAACGTCGCTTATAACCAGATTCATGTACGATAGCTTTGATAATACTTATCAGGTAAGTCTACTTTGGTATGCATTATATTTTCTACTTAATTGTAGTAATAACTTCACTCAATAGGTCATATTATTTTATCACCCATTTTTAATTTGAAATATTCTTGTGTTAATTTCAACTTTATGAGTTCAAGTTGCAGAAACATGATGTTCCAAGTTCTGTGTCCACCATTCTCAAAAATTATGTGTATATTTGGATGTGCTAAACAAAAACTTTTAAATTTTAAAGATTTAAATGTTAATCTGATGCAATTTTTGATATCACAAGTTTTGAAAAAATCAATTATTAAGTCATCATAATATTTTGGAACCCTCCTTCCTACTGGGATTGGTTCCCACAGTCTTCCTCAGGTTTCCAAGATTCATCAATTTGGAGCTAAGAGTCAGAATTGGGTAGGAGAGACTAATAAGATGCTACATAGTGGGAACATCAAGACTTAATTTGTGAGGATCCTTTATTATTGTTAATTGAACATGTGGATTACTCTAAATACGATATTGATCTTTGGACTTGATGCAATCATGATTAAAAAACTTTTGATTCCTGTACTTACTACTCTGTTTAACTACTGGCTGTTTTCCAGATGACTTTAAGGTGGCATATGTTTTGCCACTGTTCAAAAAGGGCGCTATTAATGATAGTAGCTCCAGAAGCGTGTAAGTTATTGTCATCTTACATACAGAAAACAATATGTGAAATTTAATTCTGTTATGTGTAATCCTGGAAGTATCATGAGTTGTGTTCCCCATCTATTTTATATGCAGATGATACTAGCTTGTTAAGTAGACACATTTCAAGCCACATCCTTACAAAATTTAATGTTCATATTGGCAAAGCATTGGTTTGCTAGCAATCGCCTGACTTTGAATATTGCCAAAACATTGTTAATAGTCATTGACACTGACTTTTACACATGGACAGAATGTTGAGTTTTCTTGGTGTCCATGTGGATCCTGGACTTACATGGAACTCCCATGGGGAAGTTTTAGCTTTTCATTTGAATTCCACTCTCTTTCTGTTGAGGCGCCTCTAGGAGTTTTCTTCTAGTGAAGTACCGCCTATTTTGCGCTTTTCCAAAGTCATAGTAACTACGGTATACTTGCGTGGGAACATGCCCCGATGGCTAAAAGAATTTTTGGCCTACAAAGAAGAACCATTATATATTTTGGAATGTCTCAAATTCATGTTATTGCATCATTGTCAGCAACAAATGTGAAAATAATAAGGATATTCACAAATAAGAAACCAGGGGGAGGAACGACGTTCGGCATGTTTCAATACGACTTCATAAATCTAGAAACGCATAGAACTATAATAATAATATAATATCATATTATATAATATAGAAGGCCTACTACAGTATTGAAGGGTTTATAAGAAATGCTTCTATATTTTAAAATGACTCTTTGGTATGTTTTTGACGAATGTATACCTGCGAGTTATTAACGTAATAAAATTATTATTATAATACGATGAATTAATCAATTATTTATTTAATTAATTAAAAAATCCTAATTTAAGATTCTTTAAGACCGGTGCAAGAATTTTTTGTTTAGCACAGAAATATATCCGACTCCTTTCATACAAGATGTTTTAAAGAAAAATTGACACAGAATGTATTTATATACCGACGTGAAAATGATATAGAGACACGTTGGATATAAATCATTACATATAATTTTTTTTTAAATATTTTTAGGCAACGATAGGTATCGACTTTTTATCAAAAACAATGTACTTAGAAGATAGAACGGTTAGACTCCAACTATGGGATACTGCGGGTCAAGAACGTTTCCGTTCGTTAATTCCTTCTTACATCCGTGATTCGACGGTGGCCGTCGTTGTTTATGATATTACAAGTAATAAAAAGTTTTATTACATAAATATCTAATTAATAAATATGAATTATAATTAATAGATGCAAACTCGTTTCATCAAACATCAAAGTGGATCGACGATGTGCGCACTGAAAGGGGTACGGATGTCATTATAATGCTAGTGGGCAACAAGACGGACCTCTCGGACAAGCGGCAGGTTAGCACGGAAGAGGGTGAACGCAAGGCTAAGGAGTTGAATGTTATGTTTATTGAAACCAGTGCGAAAGCTGGTTATAATGTTAAGCAGGTGAGTCACTGTTGATAACAATTTTGTTGATAAAAAAGTTTCTATTTATAAATTTTTATTAATATTTATGTTTATTTTGTGTAGTTATTCAGGCGTGTAGCTGCAGCACTCCCAGGAATGGATTCAACGGAAAATAAGCCCCCAGAAGACAGTATCCTTTTTAAAAAGAAAGCATGGCAAATTTGTTTGGCGATATTTCAAATTTAGAGCTTGCATGGCAGTATATGCAATTTGTTTTTTTCGATTTGAATTTTATTTTCCTCAATTGTTTTTTTAGTGCAAGAAGTCGTGTTGAAAGACACGCCGAACGAGACTAAAGACCCCGACGGAGGTTGTGCATGTTGACCGCTGGCTCGGTCACCGTCCTTTGTTTCCGAATTGCCCGCTCGCCTTAAGTACCACCACGGTTATGTTGTTTTATAATTTTTTAAAGGATTTTGCCCACGGATGAGACTCAATGCGCGATTCCGTGCTTAATTAAATAAAAAAAATAATCGGTAGGTGCCATTGGTTCCGCAGCTAATTCAAGCGATTTGGAATCGCTGTAATTGAGTCTTATTCCATCCGTAGCTTGTACATAATATGAATATTTAATTCCGTACGCACTTTTGCGTTTTGTATATTTATTTGGGTAAAAAAACACATGAGATTTAATAATATGTAATTTGTGCAATTTCAATCTGTATATGTTACTTTAATATAATTGCATGATTCGGCATGATTAGGAAATAAAGCAATTTTATGTATTCGGTTTTGTTTTAACAAAACATTTAGATTGTCTAATGTTTTTCAGATATTGTACTCCGCTATTTTTCAAATATAAATTTATTGGTATGTTTTGTTAGAATAAAGCCAAATATGCAGGATGTTATAAAAGAAATTTTTTAAGAGAAACCTGTATTTATTTGTATATGTTGTTTTATCATTATTTTTATATATAAATACTACGTTTGTTTTGTGCGGGGTGAGTTGTAATAATGCGTAATAATGCTTAATGTTATTAGAACTCATCTTGTATATGATTTTTGTATATAAATAATGTTGCGTGTACACGCGGATTTAACGGGTTCGAGTCCGTGTTTGTTTTTGCCATTGACTGCATTAATGGTGTTGGTGCTTGAAAGCTGAGCCGCGGTATGCCACGTGTGCACGTTTGCATGGACAATGTTTGAAAAATCAAAACACTACTCATTCCACAAACGTTGCATGGTATTTAAGTATTATAAGTATTACCTACTCTCTGAAGGCGTGAAGCAAGACAAACTGATGCGTGTCTTTTTTTTTCTTAACATATATAGCCGTTGACTTGCAAACTCAACCACAACTGCAAAACGACCAAAACGATTCGGAAGGGGGTTGCATGTGCTAACTAAGCAGTAACATAAACGAGAATGGATTTTTAATAATAATAATAATAATTATAATAATAATCGTTTAGTTGGATAATAAGAGTAGCCTATGCCTTTGTTGATAAAAAAAATAATAATAAAAAACAAGCTATATATGTGATTCCTTGGTTACGCAGTTGGCACTATGTGTGTGGAATAATTGGATAACTAAAGGTATATGTTATATTTAACCCATCTTTAATAATGACGAATCGCCCTATGCCTTTTCGATGAAATATATATAAATATTTATTTTTCTCACGTTCTCATACCACCTCATTACTATCACTTACGGACATATAGCTAAGTATCTAAACGGTGTATGATTTTTTTGCACAAGTTTAAAGCAAAAGTAAAATATATTTAGTAACGGACGCCACACGTTTCTTCACCTTTCCATTTTTTTTTCCAGCGGGTGCGTTGTACACTTCCACTATATTTTTTCCCCTTATCGATACTGTTGGATGAAAAAAAAGTAATATATTGTAAAGTAATTTTTAATTTATCATTTGTTGGAAATTAATTAATACGAAAGTGAATAACCTATTACCGATGTATGTACCGCTTTCATACTTTTTGTTTACTATTGTTTTTTTTTTAACTGCAAATGATAATAAAAATTTATTAACAACGATATAATGAGTTTTTTTATAATTTCTTTAATTATCTAATATTCCTCATTACATATATTTTAATTTAAAATAAAAATATTTTTATTTATGAGTACTAAGTATTAATTAGTTTGGAAGTGTTAGAAAAAATTGATAAAATTTGGAGTGCGAAAACTTTTACTCAACATTTTTTACGTGGAAAAACTATGGATGAGAATGTCGATAAAAGTCGTTCATAATAAAGCATAAAAATAGAATCCATAAACGATTCCCCAAATTTCTAAATTAATATATTGTTGAGAAACCTTATAACCCAACTATTACTAATTTGATTAAAATTTGTGGAATTTACCAACAAAATGGTTTACAAATCCTTTCCAACTTTAATATTAAAAAAAAATTGATTTAATAAAAATGTTATCAACTTGATAAAAACTCCACATTAACCGTTGAATAGTGTAAACATTCCTAGGAAAAAATATTTCAAATATTCCAAAGTACGCGCCGTGTCTATCGCTATAACACTTATTACGTAAGACGTTTAACCAAACGCGCATGTGTATCCCTACTTTTCATCACGCAGACCATGAAAAACTAGATCAAATTTTGCGTTAGCCCATGAAGTATCGACTTTCCACGTTATTACAATTTACAATTAAACGAACATTCCTCAATATGGCCTATCATAAACCAGAAGCTAAAGTGGTCCAAGAACTAAAAGACATCGCGAATAAACTTCGAATTCAGTCGATCATTGGTACGCAGGCTTCGAAATCAGGGTGAGTTTAACCTCTAGGGTTTAAGAGTGGGGGAGAGAGGGTGATACAAATATATCTTCTGTTCCTCTCTTTTGAGAATATTTAAGCTTTTGGTGGTCTTTCTCACTATCTCTGCTCTTTTTTGTCATTAACATCTTCGCAGTGTCCTTCAGTAGACATTACGCTTTCAACTGTTGAAAATGCCGGTTCAAGCTAGTTATGATTCCCCTGCGTTGCAGGATATCGCGAACAAGCTAAGAATTCACTGTATCGAGAGTACGAGTGCTTGTAAATCTGGGTATGTATCCGTTTACAAAGATGCCATGTTTTCATTTACCGGCATCTTTTAGGTTATAATCTAAGCATGTGCTCGATTCATTACTAATTATAAATAACCTTAAAAAAATTAACATATCCTTGAAATAAATTCGTTTAATATTGTTTTAATTAAATAAAGATAACGTGTTTTAAAAAAACACGAGACGCATAACCTTCCAAATTCCAGCATGATATTTGACATTCAAGACTTTCAAGGTTATTATTTTTTTAATAAATTATTGAATGACAATTTTTTGTTGTGATTTTTGTAATATTAAAGAATTTTCTTATCAAAACTTAACCAACTAAGCAATTCCACATTTCCTGTTATTACATTCGCAGGAAAACTTAACCGTAGGTACTATCTAATTTCAATGATAAGCATGTTTCTTTTTTTTATTTTTTTTCATACGATTTAATTATTTATTAGACACCCAACATCATGTTCATCGATAGCGGAAATCATCTCGGTTCTTTTCTTCAATACAATGCGTTACAAGCTCTCAGCTCCAAAAGATCCATCAAGCGATAGATTTGTCCTTTCGAAAGGTCATGCAGCGCCGATTTTATATGCAGCTTGGGCCGAAGCCGGGTTATTTCCAGTGGATGAATTAAAAAATTTGAGGAAACTTAACTCTGACCTTGAGGGTCATCCAACTCCGAGATTGAATTTTATTGATGTAGGAACTGGGTCGTTAGGACAAGGATTGGCGGTGGCCGCTGGAATGGCTTATGTTGGTAAAAACTACGATAAAGCTAACTACAGGGTGTATTGTTTGGTTGGAGATGGCGAGGCTGCCGAAGGTTCGATTTGGGAATCGATTCATTTCGCGAGTCACTACAATTTGGATAATCTTTGTTTGATTATTGATGTTAACCGTTTGGGTCAATCCGAAGAGACATCATTGGGTCATAACATGAATACTTACAGTAAACGTTTGGAAGCGTTTGGTTTCAATGCAATTGTCGTGGATGGACACGATGTAGATGAGCTTGTTAAAGCTTTCCACGTTGCTGCTACAACAAAAGATAAACCAACTGCTATTCTTGCAAAAACTTTTAAAGGAAAGAATTTCCCCAACGTTGAAAATCTTGATAATTGGCACGGAAAGCCATTGGGTGATCAAGCAGAACGAATTATTCAACATTTAAAAACATTAGTAAAAAATCAAGGACCCACTAAAATTCATCATCAAGAGCCATTGAAAGATGATGCTCCAATTGTTGATATCAGCAACATTAAATTATCTTCCCCTCCTAATTATGAATTGGGACAATCAATCGCTACAAGGAATGCTTATGGAACAGCATTGGTAAAACTCGCACAAAGTAATCCAAGAGTTATCGCTTTGGATGGTGACATGAAAAACTCAACTTTTTCTGAGAAATTAAAGAAATTTGATGCATCAAGATTCATCGAATGTTTTATTGCCGAACAAAATTTAGTTGGAGTCGCAATAGGAGCTACTTGTCGCGACAGAACTGTAGCTTTCGTCTCCACCTTTGCTACATTCCTAACTCGAGCTTTCGATCAAATTCGAATGGGTGCTATTTCGCAAAGTAACGTCAATTTTGTTGGTTCTCATTGCGGTGTTAGCATTGGAGAAGACGGCCCCAGTCAAATGGGGTTAGAAGATTTAGCTATGTTCCGATCAATTCCTGGAAGCACTGTTTTTTATCCAGGTGATGCAGTCGCTTGCGAAAGAGCCGTCGAATTAGCTGCTAACACCAAAGGAATCACTTTTATTCGTACCAATAGACCGAATACGCCGATTATTTATCAAAATAATGAAATATTCCAGGTAAAAAATGATTTTAATTAATTATTATTATTTTTTTAAATTTAAATTGTTATTTTTAGATTGGAAAATCACACGTTGTTAAATCAACACCCAACGATCAACTTTTAATAATTGGAGGTGGAGTAACTTTAATTGAAGCTTTAACAGCCGCTGAAGAACTTGCTAAAGTAAACGTTTTCGCTCGCGTTTTGGATCCCTTCACCATTAAACCCATCGATAAAGAGGGAATCATTAAAAACGCTTTAGAAGTTGGAGGTAGAATCCTAACGGTTGAAGATCATTATCCCGAAGGCGGCTTAGGAGAAGCCGTACTTTCAGCTGTCGCCGAACAACGCAACATCGTCGTTAAAAAACTTGCCGTTCCTAGAGTTCCTAGATCTGGACCACCCACTGCTCTCTTAGATTATTACGGAATTTCATCCAAACATATTGTCACAGCTGCCAACGAATTATTGAAACTTTAATTTTTTATATTTTTTGCATAAAAATTTGCATTTTATTTTGATTTTTTATTATACACAATGTTATTAAGATGTGTTTACTTGAATAAATGTTGATTCAATCAATAAAACAACTTTAAAAGTATAATAATAAGTGAGTTGATTGTATCCTATTTCACTTATACGAAATTATGATTGTAATAAGAGAACCTCTCAACTGATTTTGACAAATTATATATTATTCTTTGGCCAATACGAATGTTGAAATGCGAAATCGTTTATCAAGATCTATGAGTTAAGTATTTCGAACAGCAGAACTTTGTGAAATCTAATAGATGTTACATGACACGTGAAGCTAAGCCTATCTTGGTTGAAGTTTGAGGAAGAAATAATCTCGGCCGACTTCGAAGACGTCGGCCGCCTCAAATATCATGAACCATACAATAAGTCTACCCTGCTTGAAATTTATGGAAGAAATAATCTCGGCCGACTTCGAAGACGTCGGCCGCCCCAAGTACCATGAACCATACAATAAGTCTACCCTGCTTGAAATTTATGGAAGAAATAATCTCGGCCGACTTCGAAGACGTCGGCCGCCCCAAGTATGAACCATACAATAAGTCTACCCTGCTTGAAATTTATGGAAAAAATAATCTCGGCCGACTTCGAAGACGTCGGCCGCCCCAAGTATTCTGANATTTCCCTGCTTCTCTTTGGGATTCTCTTATAGCTTTTTCAAATTTTAATGTGGGTTCAGGCGAATATTCTTTGACGTCTTTTTCGAATTTGTCTTTAAGCACCATTAATGTATCTATTTGATCAAGTACAGCGGAAATGTTTGTCTTTAAAAATGATAATCTCCCTTCTTTTTGGCCATCCACTTTGCGTCTTAAATGCAACAACCCAGCTTGTAGGTCGTTAAAATTGGTTTTGTGATGGTTTTCGTATAAAAATCGACATGGTGAGAAATTTTCTGAGGTTAAATCACCAGAACTTCCTGGGAATTTATCGTTAAGGTCATCTTCAGGGATTTTTTTCTCGTTGCTTTCATCGGATAACCCTAATGGGTCATCTATTTGGATACTACTTGCTGATAAGGAATGACGAAATGTGTGAAAAGGTTTTTCTTCCACCCAAACGGCGCTTTCTTTCATGGGGCCAATATGTTCGTAATAACCTTTGAAATGGACATTGCAAGTACCTTTACCTCCTAATTTTGTGGTTACAATGATATCTCCAAAACCTTTCCCTGGACCAGAAATGGCTATTATTTTGCTAGGGGCTTTCCATTCGGCAGATAATAAACAATCATGCCCGCAAATTGTTAATCCTTCAAAATTATTAAATTTAGTTAATTTGTAACTGTTAATAAAAAAGTGTCTTACCAATTAAATCGGTGGGTCTTTGACCGAAATTTTCACCTCGGATTGTAACGCGTGTTCCAGGAGGCCCCTCGTTGGGGGATAAACCCGTAACAATCGGTGGTAGAACCATTTTCGCATAAAGATAAAACTTTTAGCAGGAACTGTTGAGGTTATGTTTTCATTGTGGGCGTAAACGTTACATTTCTAACTGACGTTGATTCATATCATCTTGCAGGCTTTATTTCCGCTTTATATCCCTCATTTATACCTGAATAATCATACAAAAATACACCGATTTTAAGATATTATTGTAAATTTTGACAACTGTACGAGTTAAATGATATACTCAATAGATGGCGCCATAACGCGTGAAGATAGCGGGAAATTTAAATTGAATAAACGATTTTTGTTTCTAAAGATTTATTGTACTCTGTTTTGTTACAGGTTGTATAATCTGCGCATCTAAAAATGTGGGTAAGTTGTAACATCTTTATCATAAATATACACATAAAGTCTATCTATTATAATCCTTTTTATCAAATAATTTCTGTACACTAAGTAAAATACATCACAAATAATGTAGGCATGTAAAAAATGCCTAAGAAACGTCTCAACATTTTGATAAAATCAAGGCAGCCGCATATATATGTCATACATAAAAGCTTTTTACGTATACAGTGTGTTTCATTTTAACTATCATGGAAGATATCTTGATTATTGTGGGTAATATCTATGATCTGCCATAACCAAAAAAAAAATTGAGCATCAAATGTGTTTTAGTCTTAACCTGGCCGCTCTAAGTATTGTTCATGATACTTGGGGGCGGCCGACATCTTCGAAGTCGACCGAGATTACTTCTATCACGAACCTAAGTTGGGGCGGCCGACGTCTTCGAAGTCGGCCGAGATTATTTCTTCCATAAATTTCAAGCAGGGTAGACTTATTGTATGGTTCATGATGCTTGGGGCGGCCGACGTCTTCGAAGTCGGCCGAGATTATTTCTTCCATAAATTTCAAGCAGGGTAGACTTATTGTATGGTTCATGATACTTGGGGCGGCCGACGTCTTCGAAGTCGGCCGAGATTATTTCTTCTAAGATGCTGCAGCTTGATACCATGTTGATACAAAACGAGATAGTTTCTATAGATATAGCATTTTGATTTTGATCTATTCGTGTATCCATAAACTCTTTCATGACCGTCTTGTATACTAAATGGATACTGATTGAAATTAAAATTGACCAAAATTGATAGCTATCTGAATGACAGATCAAAACTAATACCAAATTATTATTTATCGTCTTAAAAAATGATAATGTACCAATTTTCATGTTCATCATATAAAAGAAAGCGAAATTATGAAAGAAAAACAAAAATATAGTATTAACTTAAACCATCTGTATCTTCGTTATTATTAACAATTTAATTAAGATAAATTAGGTTAAATCATAATAATTTAAAGTAAGAAATTCACTGTATATATTAACATAATAAATTAAGAATGTTTTTCCAAAATCTTCTCTATTTACACAAACAAAACGTTTAAAACAACATCTTAAAATCCATGAACTTGAAATGTTTCGCTTTGAAATTTCATTGAATCTTACGACGTATAGATGGCGATAAATAAATTGGTGTAGTTATAAACACGTATTATAACAATAAATATTTGCATAACGCCTAGTGGTCGTAAATAATCGATTATGATCCTTTTCCGTTCCCATTCCGTTGTAACAAGCCAAAAACGCGGTACCACGAAAAGATAACCAACCAATCGACGTGAAAATGTATGCTCAATTAATCGATTATGAAAACAACAGGTTATACACACGCCGAATTTGAAATAATCGATACTATTGTAATATTAAAATCTATGCAATTGTTACAAAAACATGAGTAACGTTAGAAATATGACGTAAAATTATGAAATTATAATAATCGGATTCTTATCTTTGCACATAGTTTTATATCAATATACGTGATTAGATAGTACAAAATAGTATTTTAAATACATGATTGAATAAAAAAATTTTTTTATTAATTTATTTGAAATCATATGAAATAGCCAAGGGGCTCGCCATTGAAGGTTCTAGAAGGTTAAAATAAATGCTTATTGAAGGTCATAGATATAGTTACAATAAAAAATTTCTTTTGGGATTTCTTTATTGATTTATTAAAAGTAGAAGTGTTGGGCGTTAAAAGTTTAATTTGACTTTTATAATAATTAAAAGTAGTGGGTGCCGTCCGTCCTTCGTAACGTCACGAACGTAACCGAACGTTACACGAAAAGGGACGTTGTATAACGGGCGAAGTACAACAATAGATGTAAGTAGACGAGTGCGAGTGAGAAAGGAGAAGCGAACGTATATGAAACCGTGCAGAACGGAAACGAACCTATTCTAGTGCGATCCATCGCGTGGTCTTGCCAAAGTTTTTTTCTCAACTTTTTCCTACGTAATTACCAAGTAAGTATCAACGTGTTACACCTCAAATTGTTTCTTAAGATCCCTGTAATAACCCGGTATAAAAAATAACGACTGTAAAACGATATTTAACGAGATAATTCGATTTTTAGTAGTTACCACCATGCCGGTACCAGCTCTACAAAAACCAGCCCCCGAATTCAAAGGGACAGCTGTTGTTAACGGACAATTCAAAGATATCAAGCTCTCTGATTATAAAGGACAATACGTCGTAATTTTCTTCTACCCTTTAGATTTGTAAGTAAATTTTTTTTTTCTATTTCATAATTACATAAATTTTTTTTAACAGTACTTTTGTATGCCCAACGGAAATTATTGCGTTTTCCGACCGTTTCGAAGAATTCAAAAATATCAAAACGCAAGTTATTGCTTGTTCAACAGACAGTCACTTCTCTCATTTGGCTTGGGTGAACACCGCCCGTAAGCAAGGTGGTCTTGGAGAAATGAACATCCCTCTCTTATCAGATAAATCCTGCAAAATCTCCCGAGATTATGGCGTTTTAGATGAAGAAACTGGAATCCCATTCCGCGGATTATTTATCATTGACCCAAAGGGTAATCTTCGCCAAATCACAATCAATGATCTCCCCGTAGGAAGATCCGTTGATGAAACTCTCCGCTTGGTTCAAGCCTTTCAATTCACCGACGAACATGGTGAAGTTTGCCCGGCTGGCTGGACCCCTGGGAAGAAGACCATGAAACCAGATCCATTGAAGAGTAAAGATTACTTTGAAACCGTTAACTAAATTTCGCTTTAGAGTATTTTTCTTGTTTTGTTTTTTTTTATATCTCGTTTCCTGTACGAAAAGTATTATCTACTATTTTTTTTTTCGTTATTAAACTGATTAATAAATAAAGTATTCAGCAGTGAGAAGATATTTTGATTCCTCTGATCTTTAATGGATTACTTTTCGCTTTATCTTACTTAATCATACGATAAAAAATGGATCAAAGTTATAAAAAACTTAAGATAATGGAATTTTGAAACAACTTCTAATCATTACGTCGCGTGGCGTCACGGATTAAAAATCCGATTTTACTTTGTTATGTAATCAATACGAAATTACCCGTGTCCGTTTTTTTTTTACAACATTTTATAGTTATTTACATTTTATTATGTACCTTATCAATAATAGGTGTCAGAATTAATATTTTAAATTTTTATTTTTCGGTTAGTTTTGCTATTTAATCATAGATGAGGCTTTTAAATTTAATTATTTAAAAAATATATATATATATAGACGCTTAGTCTTTGTGTTTTTGCCTAATCCCAACCCCATGGTTCTTAAACGGACGAATTTCTTGCTATTAGGGGTGTTATTTTATCTCCGAGCTTGATATTTTCTTTGTAGCTATGATATATTGTTTCTAAATTGGTAATTTATATACATAAATGTTTATTTAATCGATGATTTTCTTCTGCCATCACATTTTGCAACTTCGAATAACTTCTTCTTCACCACCGTGATGTTATTTCCGCCCGTTTTGTTTCTGATGACCATAACACTGTTCCTGGGCTTAATTTTGCTTCTACCCATAATAACAGAAACAATTCCTAAGATAATAGTTCCGAAATCATTTTCAATATACACTAATTATAAGAAAAAAAATTGGTTCTTAAACTTATTCCTAAGCATGGGCTACGAATGGTACTGCTTATCTTCACCGTAAGACTAGGATCATTCCTGACACAATGGAAGATGTCTCAGATAACTATGCTGCTGAAACTAAATAAAATCACGAGTACTTACTCATCATAGTAAATAAAAAATTAATTCCTAATTATCAATTTGGGTTTAGGAAACAGCATGGTACTATAGAACAAGTGCACAGAGTAGTGAGATCAGCTAGAGATGCCCTAGAGGCCAAAAAATATTGTACAGCAATTTTTTTAGACGTGTCACGTGCTTTCGATAGAGTATGGCATGACGGTCTTATAGCCAATCTTAAAACCTATCTACCTTATGCAGTATGTACATACACTATTGGAATCATATCTGATTAAGAGACACTGTAAAAGAAGTGATTGCCCAGCGAAGTTCCAAATACCCGCGAAAGCTGCAAATTCACTCAAACCGATTTGCAAAAAATAAAAATAATAATAAAAAAGAACGTACTAACCATGCATTAATATGGTTTTATTTTGGACCTACTATTGAGCGAGTTCCCACGGTGTTATTATTAATTTCTAATTATCAATTTGGGTTTAGGAAACAGCATGGTACTATAGAACAAGTGCACAGAGTAGTGAGATCAGCTAGAGATGCCCTAGAGGCCAAAAAATATTGTACAGCAGTTTTTTTAGACGTATCACAGACTTTCGACAGAGTATGGCATGACGGTCTTATAGCCAATCTTAAAACCCAGCTACCTTATCCAATATGTACATACACTATTGGAATCATATCTGACTGAGAGACACTGTAAAAAAAGTAATTGCCCAGCGATTCATTCAAACCGACTTGCAAAAAATAAAAATAATAATAAAAAAGAACGTACTAACCATGCATTAATATGGCTTTATTTTAGACCTACTATTGAGCGAGTTCCCACGGTGTTATTATTAATTCCTAATTATCAATTTGGGTTTAGGAAACAACATGGTACTATATAACAAGTGCACAGAGTAGTGAAATCAGTTAGAGATGCCCTAGAGACCAAAAAATATTGTACAGCAGTTTTTTTAGACGTGTCACAGGCTTTCGACAGAGCATGGCATAACGGTCTTATAGCCAATCTTAAAACCTATCTACTTTATCCAGTATGTAGTCAGAAAAAAAGAGATGAGTCGACGTTTTTTCGTATAGGCCGTCCAAATTACACAAAATCCCATACACAGTATGTAAAATGAATCCCGAAAATGTAATTTGGACGGCCTATACGAACGAAAATCGACGCATCACTTTTTTTTCTGACTGTACATACACTATTGGAATCATATCTGACTAAGGCTCTAACCGATAGATAATTACCATGGTTATAGCGGTTTTAAGCGCTCTCATTGGCTAAGAACGGGNGAGATGCGTTGACGTTTTTTCGTATAGGCCGTCCAAATTACACAAAATCCCATACACAGTATGTAAAATGAATCCCGAAAATGTAATTTGGACGGCCTATACGAACGAAAATCGACGCATCTCTTTTTTTTCTGACTGTACATACACTATTGGAATCATATCTGACTAAGGCTTACTTTTACCACCTCTTGATAAATTTTACCGATAGATAATTACCATGGTTACAGCGGTTTTAAGCGCTCTCATTGGCTAAGAACGCCAATTTATCTATCGGATCTATCGGACACTGTAAAAGAAGTAATTGCCCAGCGAAGTTTCAAATAAATAATAATAAAAAAGAACGTACTAACCATGCATTAATATGGTTTTCTTTTAGACCTATTATTGAGCGGGTTCCCACGGTGTTATTATTAATTCCTAATTATCAATTTGGGTTTAGGAAACAGCATGGTACTATAGAACAAGTGCACAGAGTAGTGAAATCACCTAGAGATTCCCTAGAGGCCAAAAAATATTGTACAGCAGTTTCTTTAGACGTGTCACAGGCTTTCGACAGAGTATGGCATAACGGTCTTATAGCCAATCTTATAACCTATCTACTTTATCCTATATGTACATACACTATTGGAATCATATCTGACTGAGAGACACTGTAAAAGAAGTAATTGCCCAGCGATTCATTCAAACCGACTTGCAAAAAATAAAAATAATAATAAAAAAGAACGTATTAACCATGCATTAATATGGTGTTATTTTGGACCTACTATTGAGCGAGTTCCCACGGTGTTATTATTAATTCCTAATTATCAATTTGGGTTTAAGAAACAACATGGTACTATAGAACAAGTGCCCAGAGTAGTGAAATCAGTTAGAGATGCCCTAGAGGCCAAAAAATATTGTACAGCAGTTTTTTTAGACGTGTCACATGCTTTCGATAGAGTATGGCATAACGGTCTTATAGCCAATCTTAAAACCTATCTACTTTATCCAGTATGTAGTCAGAAAAAAAAGGGATGAGTCGACGTTTTTTCGTATAGGCCGTCCAAATTACACAAAATCCCATACACAGTATGTAAAATGAATCCCGAAAATGTAATTTGGACGGCCTATACGAACGAAAATCGACGCATCACTTTTTTTTCTGACTGTACATACACTATTGGAATCATATCTGACTAAGGCTCTAACCGATAGATAATTACCATGGTTATAGCGGTTTTAAGCGCTCTCATTGGCTAAGAACGCCAATTTATCTATCGGATAAGCGAAGTTTCAAATAAATAATAATAAAAAAGAACGTACTAACCATGCATTAATATGGTTTTCTTTTAGACCTATTATTGAGCGGGTTCCCACGGTGTTATTATTGTTATTATTTTTGTTGTATTATTAAACATACTGTTTATTGTTGTTGTATGCGATATATTGCAGTAATAAAAGGAAAATTAAAACAAAAAAAATACATGATTATTTTAAGATTTTAATTTTTTGTAAAATTTTGAATGTTGCGCCATCTATTATCAGTTTCAAATAATAATCTTAATTCCGCATTGGAAAATAATAAAAGTAGAATAATTAAATGATGTTTATAAATAACCACATTAATTTTATAGATGAGTATCGAAATCGAGATTATTCTGGAAAACAAAGACCACCAACACTTTAAATGTGTGTTTAAACTCGATTAAATCTCATTTAGGTTGAGCACGTCTTCATTAACAAAGGATCCGAAATAAATATTTATCTTATTTGATTTAATATGATACCTACATAAATATGTAATATTTCTAAAATAATAAATAAGAATCTCGGACCAGGATGACGTCGTAAGTCGCGCACATGGGATTGTTGAGAGGGGATCGCGGTCTAATGGAGTAAACATGGATACTCGAACCTTATCTTTCTTATCCACTAAAAATCTTGATTGTCATTTAATAAGTAATATAAACTAAAATTTATCCGATTAATTTTATTTTATTGCTTTATGATTTAAAAATAACTAAATTTATTAAATACACATATTTTTCTAAGTGTATATGTATAGAAACATAAAATCATTAAGATATCAGATTAAATTATTAGAATTAAGATGACCTGAAAACGTAAAACGTTGTTTTGGCATTTATACCCCATATCGAAATTGGAACGAAATTGAAACGAAATTGAACGAAAGATGTTTATAGAAGGATAAGATAAAATAAGAAATTAATAAAAAATCGCTAAGTGAATAAAGACTGTATTTTTATGATGTATATCTGTCATTTAAAGTAAAATAGTTGTGATTAGAGAATATTGAGATATTTTGGGCTGGTGTCCCACCCTTTTGCCATTGGTACGGCGTTTACGGCGCATACTCCGGGCAAACTGTTACTATATCGTGGGCAAAAGGTGTCGCAAGCGGACGTGGAACCGAACCCGGCCGCAATTAGCGGCTATTCAATGAAAAAACTGCCATGTAAAACACGTGCCCAGTACGTCGCCGGACTTAGTACGTGGTTAAAACCCACGGGGCGCGTAGTTATGTGGAGGTACCTGCTCATCAGTGTTGTGCTAGTGAGTGCCTCGACGGAGGACATTTCATCTTACGGTAAGGATTTTTTTTTAGATGCGCCAATGATTTTATATACAATTTCATAGAGAAGTTTTCAATGACAATTGCAAGTGATTCCCGTGGACCGAGACGCCATGAGGCATCACCTGATGTTTTGGACGCCCCACTCTTTTATATTGACTCTCTACTTCTCGACTTTGCGTCTGGAGTACACTTCTACTTTTTTTTTTATTTCAAAAATAGTCATACAACACTTTTCATTTAATATTTCGATTTTGAGATTGCGGGAGCAACATCTCCCATAGTGAATCGATAACGCTGCGAGGCGCCCTGACGTACAAAAAAAAGAACGAAAATTATTTAAAGCCTTTCAGGCAAAACGTATTATATTTTTAATTAACTTTCAGTGACGTCGGTTTGTTTACACGACGCCGTCCGTTGAATTATATTATCTCTCTCTTCTATAAATATATCTATTGACTCTTCGCGCCTCTCCACCCTGATATCGTCACCTTCCTCGGTGGCGCTCGTTTTACGTCATCCGGGAGGAGAGATACAGATAAAAAGTACCCCAGAGTTTCACCCCAATTCTAATCGCATAAATAACACCGAAACCTGACGCATTCAAACGACTAATGCTTATTTATAAGTTTATTATTTTGTGCCCAGAAATGCGAACTCCCGGACTAACTGGGTGTGGATTTTTTTAAAATAACATTTGACTCATAATTTTTCACAAAAAAAAAGTGGTACGTTTAAATAAATTGATAATCAGCAACTTTCTTAAATTCTTCGAATTCCATTAAATTAATTTATTAACTAATTAGAACATTTAGAACATCAGCAAAATATTTCTCTGTAAGCATTTCTTATTAAACGATTACATCTGAATCATTCCGTTTATCTTAAGACCACGATGAAATAAAAAAATATATAAACACAGATAATGTTAATAAAGAATTCATTCATCATTTTTTCCTTCATCCTCATAATATAACAAATTCATAAATTCAAAACAAACAATTTTTTCATAATAAATTCTTATCAAAAACAAATTGTTTCAACCTGAATCTTAACCTTGAAGATGAAAGATACTGAAACAGTCATTAAATTGAAACGTACGATGTTTATGCCTCGCATAAAATTATTTATATAAGACGCATTAAATTGCGTCACTAACATACTCATTTCCTTTTAACACAAAAACTTTTTTTGATTATTTTAACATGTATTGTATTTAAAGAAAAAACCTGTTTAATTTTTTTATTTTTCTTGTTCAAATAGAATTTGTTTTTGAAAATAATTGACGTCACGACAATCACGGCTAATGCGATACTTTGGAAAACCACAAAATGATTTCATTTTCATTCTTGTTAAGTTTTAATCGAATCTTGCAGCGTTTCGAATTATTATTTATTAATAATAACTGGTAACATCACAAATTATATTTAACAATTACCTTGAACGGTAATTTATGATTGAAAATACTTATTTATATATATTATTTTTAGAATTTTAAACAATAACATAATAATTATTCACTCATTGCTTCATATATTTATATATTATTATCTACACTATTGCGTATGCAGTGCAGCATGATATAAATACAATTAAGTGAGTTGTATTATAAATCATTGTGTTTTGTGATTCCGAACTTTGCTCGTATTATGTCACTAAAATACAGCGTGTTAATTAATTATCGAACCCGACGTCATCAAGTATGCAACCAATATCACAGTACTAGTATTGCAATACGGATACTGTGATATTGGTTGCATACTTACAATGATGACGTCGGGTACGATAATTAATTAACACAACATTTTTATTTTGATTATTTTAACATGTATTTAAAGAAAAAACCTGTTTAATTTTTTTATTTTTCTTGTTAAAATAAACGTAGGTCCGAAAATGGACCATTTTGGAGATATTCAAAGATTTAGTTTTATAAGTTGCTATTGTTAACATCATGAATTTAAATTTGTTTTTATAATAATTAAGTCGTTACTATGATTACGATAAGTTGTCTAATCAAAAAAAACGAAATTATTATTTTACTATTTAATTTAATAAAACTATTAAGTATGGCTCCTATTAATTACTCCAAGGAAGAGATGGCGAATATGGTGTATTGTTACGGACTAGCTGATGGAAATGCGTCGTTAGCAGCTCGTCATTACGCGCAAAGGTTCCCGAACAGGCGATTGCCTAATAGTCACACCTTTAGCAGACTATTTCTCAGATTAAAAGAAACGGGAAGCGTAATCCACAGCCATTCCACGGAGAGACATTACACAAGGCCGGTGGAATTAGAAGAAGCAGTTTTGAGAAGAGTCGATGAAAATGCCTCAACCAGCATTAGAAGAATTTCTGCACAACAAAACATTAACAAAACAACCGTTCACCGTATTTTAAGGGAGCAGTTGCTTTATCCTTATCATTACAACACCATTCAAGCAATAACAGAAAATGATGGCGAAAAAAGAGAGATTTTTTGTAGGTGGGCCATACAGGAAGAGGTAGTAAACGTCGACTTTCCCATAAACATTGTATTTACGGATGAAGCAACATTTACTCAAAGCGGAATTTTTAATATTCATAATGCGCACGTTTGGAGCGATGAAAATCCAAATGCAATACTAGAAACTCATCATCAGTGGCGATCCAGTGTTAATGTATGGGCTAGAGTTATAGGTGATCAGTTATTAGGTCCATTTTTTTTTCCAAAGAGATTGACAGCCGATGCCTACATACATTTTTTACAAAATGACCTTACAGAGGCATTTGATGAATTACCTCAACAAATTCTAGAAGATTGCTACTTTATGCACGATGGAGCACCAGCACATTATGCACGCGCTACTCGAGCATACTTAAATAACAGATTTGGCAATAAGTGGATTGGCCCAGGAGGTCCTGTCCCGTGGCCACCTCGTTCACCAGATTTAAATCCGTTAGATTTTTGGTTTTGGGGACATTTAAAACAAATTGTTTATTCTGAAGACGTTCAAAATGTGCAGGATTTGAAGAATAAAATTAGTAACGCATTTGACACAGTAAAACAAATTCCTGGTATCTTTGAACGCATTAGAAGTTCGTTTAGAAAACGTATCCGTTTGTGTTTAGAAGTAAATGGTGCGCATATTGAACATTTATTATGACATGAATCTTTTCTAATTTGTTAAATATTCGTTGTTTTTATGCTGGTTGAACGATTTTCTTCGACAATCTTTGTTACTTGTTTTGTTAAATTATTAATGAACTGTATTAATTAACTTAATATTATCTTATTAGTTATTAAACTTTATCTTAACCATCGTAACCATGGTAATCATATAATTACTGCATCCAAATCGTTAGAATTAATGATGTTTGCAATAGGTCAGCTTATGAAACTAAAACTTTGAATATCTCGAAATTGGTCCATTTTCGGACCTATGTTTATTAGACTTTTCTTGTCTGTTTTCGATCATAATATGGGCAATACAAAAATACAGCGTGTTAATTAATTATCGCACCCGACGTCATTAAGTATGCAACCAATATCACAGTACTAGTATTGCAATACGGATACTGTGATATTGGTTGCATACTTACAATGATGATGTCGGGTACAATAATTAATTAACACACTGTATGTACTATACGAAATTTTTAAGCCTCATCTTATTTCATACACAAAAAAAAAATGAATTGACACTGTGACAACGTAATTTTTGAACTGTATCTTATTTCTTATACTTTTTATTAATTCTATTTGGGGTTGATCCAACTTTTTTTTATCATTATGGACATAAAATCGTAAATTGCTGCTTCATTCTGACTTCATAACTTTGTTTCTTACACTCATTGGAATTTTGGTTATTATTATATTATTAATTTTTGTTTCAGCTCCTTGCAGTATAAAACAATTCACATGTCTCGACAAGAAATGTATACCGATGTCGTATACTTGCGACGGTGAGGAAGACTGTGATGATGGCTCAGATGAACCAAAAAATTGTACTGGTAAATTAGAAATTAAAATTAAGTTAGATTATTATTTGTGTGTATATTGTTTGAGATGAAATGAGATGAAAGACAATGAGCGATAATTACGTAAGAATAGTCTGAGTGACACTTTGATATGAAAATAAAAGGAAGTGATAAGAGTTTAACGATTTGTAATTAGCTCTTCCGTTGTTGCGTTACGCGAAATGGGTGCATAGGTCGCGTTGGTTTGTGATGTAAATAGAAAAGATCGTCTTTGTTCGCTAAATAGACGGGGACTGAAAATAATTGATAGTTTCGGTCAGACGAGCAAACGTGGATATCCATTGCGTCAGATGCGATCGTTTCTTCGGGCGCAGTTTCGTTTTGAACGGTTCTTGTCAATAAGATAGCGATATTACGTCAGATACCTGTTGTTGCTGAAGAGGGGGCGCCTTCAGTTTCAGTAGTTTAAGTGCGAGATCAAAGCCCTGTTTGCTCTCAGTTCATCAACAGCTTTTAGTCGGACATCAACCAAGATGTTCCGATACTTCATTGTATTTTTATTTTGTGTTGATTCTGTTAAACTCTTTTATGTACCAGAGCTACCTCACGGTAAGAATTTTTTTGTTTATTATAAGTTATTTAGACTTAAAAAGTGTCTCGTTCGTCAACATTCTTTTCAGAGACGTTTCACTTTTTATCCATATAAGACAAAAGCGGAAATCATTCGTTGGTCCTTATCGGTTAAAAATTGACACGCTTAAACGATAAAAGCACGTTTACAAAAACAACCGACTTTAATAATCGTCACTCAAAATTTAAGACATAATAATAGCGAAACTGCGTCCTGTTATCTTAATCATAACAATAACAATAACTGTTTATTTTATACTTCTTATTATAACTTGATACACAGAAAAAGATTTAATTGAACGCCTTTCTAATAAAGTTTTTTGCAAAAAAAAACCTGAAATAATAACGTATTATTAAAAGCACTTGAAACCAATTTTCTTTAATCATTTTACGTTCGATACACGTTGCGTAATTTGAAATCGTTTTTATGGCACACAACGTGATTAATTTTTCTTTGATTTTAGAAACGGTAGTTTGTCCAAATAATCAATTTAAATGCGGAAACGGAAAGTGCATTCCAGCTCATTGGCAATGTGATAACGAAAAAGACTGTAACGACAACAGCGACGAAGACGAAACTAAATGCCGTATGTTAGAAATAAAAAATGTGTTGAAAAGATTTTTGATTTTTTATTATTTAGGGCAAAAAGTTTGTGGGGCAGACGAATTTACTTGTAGATCGGTTCGAGGGGAATGCGTACCTTTAACGTGGATGTGCGACGCAAGCGAAGACTGTTCAGACGGTTCTGATGAAAGATCTTGCAGTAAGTAACAATTTAACTTTATTAATTTAATTACAAAAAAATTTTTTAGATGAAACTTGCCGATCAGATGAATTTACATGCGACGATGGCCAATGTATTCAAAAACGGTGGAGATGCGATTTAGAATACGATTGTAACGATCATTCCGACGAGCGAGATTGCCCTCCCGTATCTTGTTCTCCAGACACCCAAATCCAATGTTCCGATACTTATTGCATAACGAATTTGTGGCGGTGCGATGGCGATAAAGACTGTGCGGATGGTCGGGATGAAAAAGATTGTCCGAACACGTTTTCATCGTCATTTTGTTTATCCCATACTTTCGATTGTGGCGATCATTTAACGTGTATTCAAAAAGACTACCTTTGTGATGGAGCTAAAGATTGCCCAAATGGGATAGATGAGTCGCCGATTCACTGCGAGAATATAACTTGCAGAGCGGATCAATTTCAATGCAAAGATAAGAGTTGTATATCGGGAAATTTGCACTGTAATGGAAGGAATGATTGCCCTGACGGTAGTGATGAGAAAAACTGCGACAACCCCCATTCAAAATGCGACCCAAAAACACAGTTCGATTGTGGGGGTGGGTCGTGTATCCCTCTGAACAAAGTTTGCGATGGTCATCAAGATTGCCCCGATTGGGAGGACGAGCCGAAAGATAAATGTGGAAAAAACGAATGCAACATTCAAAACGGTGGTTGCTCGCATAAATGTATTAATTTACCGATTGGTTATCAATGTGTTTGTAACCCCGGCTATAAATTAATCGATAACAGAACGTGCGGAGATATCAACGAATGTGAAATCCCTGGAAGTTGCTCGCAAAATTGCATCAACGACAAAGGAACGTTTAAGTGCGAATGCGAAAACGGCTACATCAGAGACCCTAGAGATCTAACAAAATGCAAAGCGGCCGAAGGACATGCATCTCTTCTCTTCGCCAGACGAAAAGATATAAGAAAAATTTCGTTGGATCATCATGAAATGACAAGTATAGTTAATCAAACGAATTCGGCAACAGCTTTAGATTTTGTGTTCCGAACCGGAATGATTTTTTGGAGCGATGTAACCGATAAAAAAATATACAAAGCCCCTATCGACGAAGGTAACGAAAAAACAGTCGTTATAAACAATGAGATAACAACATCCGATGGTTTAGCCGTTGATTGGATTTACAATCACATTTATTGGACTGACACCGGAAAAAATACCATTGAGTTAGCTAATTTCGAGGGTCAAATGAGGAAGATTTTAATTAAAGGCGATCTCGAAGAACCTAGAGCAATCGCGTTAAATCCTTTGGACGGGTGGATGTTTTGGACCGATTGGGGGAGCGAGCCAAAAATCGAAAGGGCTGGAATGGATGGTTCACATCGTGGCACAATAGTTTCTTTTGATATTAAATGGCCAAACGGATTAACTTTGGATTTAGTTAAAAAGCGGGTTTATTGGGTCGATGCTAAACTAAACGAGATCTCGTCTTGCGAGTTCAACGGAAGCGAACGCAAACTTATTTTGGCGTCGTCCGAATCTTTAAGACACCCGTTTTCAATAACTACATTTGAAGATTGGATTTATTGGACCGATTGGGATAAATCCGGAGTTTTTAAAGCTAATAAATTTACTGGGAAAAATGTTACTGCAGTTACATCAACACAAATGGTAATTAAAAGTTAATTGAAAAGTTTTTTGGGTTATTATTTTTTTAATTGAAGATTCAAAGTCCGATGGTAATTCATGTGTATCATCCTTATCGACAACCTGATGGTGAAAATCATTGTCAAGCCGTCAATGGTCATTGTTCGCATTTATGTTTACCAGCTCCAAGGATAAATGTAGATTCTCCCAAGATTTCGTGCGCTTGTCCGGAATCGCTGAGGATGTTACCGGATGGTTTAACTTGTGTCCAAGACGGTGAGTGAGATTCTTAAAATATTAGATATTTTCATCTTACGCGTTTTATTTTTTTATATACATTTTGTTGTTGATATTTTTGCATTTAGCCGAAACAGTTACGACACCAATAGCCGTTACGACACAAACAGATAACAATACGGTCTCTGAAACCGAGGTTGTTACGAATCGTGAGTACCAGTCGACGACAGACGGTTAGTCATTTTGATCGTTTATTTTTTCTGAGTGCCCCTCCCCACAGTCTCGTTTTATTTAATCCTCATTTTTCCCACATTTTTTTTATACTCCCGAATGGTGGCGGTGACAAGGTGATGGGGCATATTTACAAAACTAACGCAACATCCTATGTAAAATTTTCTTTCTTTTTTTTTATTTTTCGTTCTTCTCCGCTTTGTACCTTTTTAGTTTTCGAGTGTTTGCATCTACCTTCTGTACATATTCGATTAACAGAATACGATACAAATGTGTATTTTATCACGTTTTTATTTACTTGTTTTTATTTTTATTGTCTTAGGTACAGTAAATAAATCGTATCCGATTAATGGCGATGGAGCTGATACCGGAACGGTGGCTTATATCACCGTGGGCGTAGTCTCCGTATTTTTGATTGTCATTGGAATCGTAAGATCAAATATAATATATACTGTTGGAAATAATTCACGAGCACACCCTGCATAATCTGAACACGTGTGATGAAATTTGGTGGTTCAGATTATATAGGGTGTACTCGTGAATTATTTCCAACAGTGTATTAAAATAAATCATTAATTTTGTGTTTTCGTTTAGATTGTTTATTTAGTATACAAACGTTATTTACACCGAAACATTACTTCGATGAATTTCGACAATCCAGTCTACAGGAAGACGACAGAAGATCAATTTTCGTTGGAGAAACCGACCCGCATGTATGCGAGCACAGTCGGAGAAGAGGTAAGAGCACTGACGTTGGATTGCAACGCAGGCAATTGCAGATAATTCAATTAAATAGATGTCCCGATCAAACTTATTAATCCTATCCGTCAGTATTAGCTTTTAAGTGAATTGCATTCATATTTTTGTAATCACTTATGACGCTGTGCCAAAGTAAAAAAAAAAATAATAAGAAAATCAGTAATTGCTCTACATTGTCGAATGTACGAGGTGATTTGTGGTCGATATATATTTAAATTGAGTTTTGGAAATTAATATTATTATAATTTATTTTTAATATAAAAATGATTTGTTTCCGCTAGAAATAATTAATTAAGGTGAAATTAATACAAAACAATTTTAAGCTCAAATTCTTATAAAAATATTAACTACTAAATTTAAGATTAATTTCTTTTAGTTAATTTTTGTATTAACTCAATTTAAAAATATCTTTTTACCATAAATCCCGCGTATATATAAATAATATTTCGACGTGTGTATAACAGTACTCTTGATGTTCACTGTAAAACCATCGACGTGTGAATTTTATGATGTTAGTTAGTTTCGAGTCATGCGCATATTATTTTTCTTTTGTTTCATGCATCTTATGATTAAGATTGCCGGTGAGTAGTTTATTACGTAGATAGCGTATTAGATTCATTCGCTCATTTGCTTTTATGTCCCATCGTTTTCCTTTAATAAATTAGTGAATATTTTAATTATTTTAATTTGATGAAATTAATTTTTTGTAGGCACAGGAACCACTAACAAGTGCCAACTGTAATGAGTTTGCGTAAGAAAGCTACCTAGTCTATTCCGTGAGTGCTCAACAAGAGAAAGACTAACTTCAGCCAAATCTCCAAAGATTCTATTAGAAAATTGTGTACATTGTTTATTATTAATTTTTTTTAGTATCGTTACTTGGATTCGCAACATCACATGTATTTGTAAGTGTAAAAATAAATCGGATCAATATAATACTATGTGTTCTAGAAGAATTAAAAAACTAATTCTAATTTTATTCCTACGTTTAAGTGTATATAACGTGCCCAGGCGAGGTTCTTTAAAAACGCTAGATCTTGGATCTCGTCGTACAGTTGTAACTTGTTATTCCTCTTAGCTCTAAGTAACGTTTCTATATTTATTTATATGTGTATATAGTGTCATAGAACTTTTTCGTATATCTGTTGCTATAGTTTTAAGTTCACAAAATTTTTTTAAAAAATTGTTTCTATACGTACAATGTGAAAAATAAAATAAAAAGAAACACTAGAACTTTGTTATATCTTTTCTCAAAAACCTTTATTTATTTGAATCAAATATAAAATTAACTTCATAACAAAATATATTAAAAAAAAAAAATGGAATAGCACATCATGGAGTACATCGCAGATAAATATTCATTGCTTAAAGCGCTTTCATAGCCGCCATGAGATCTTCTAACGTATCAGTAGGAGTTGGTTCAACGCCCGCTTCAACATCCCCACTTTCAGGTGCCTCATACGCATATGAAACGCCTTCACCAACCTTTGCCTTTTCCTCAACGGGTATACATTCATCTACCAAAGAAATTCCCCATTCGTTATCTTCATGTAAAGGTTTTTCTTCAATCACTTCAACAGCTTTTTCTATTTTCGGTTTCGCGGCAAATTCCTTTTGTCGCAATCTACAGTTAGCATCCTCGCAGTTTGGATTTGGTTTGAGTGTCATCGTCGGGAAAAAATCGTTTAACGCGCTATATCCCAAATAAGTCGATACTTCGCCGAATTCTAAAAGATATTTTAAAGTGTTTTGAACCAAGAACCCCGCTACAATTCCCATCGTTGTTGGTAAACTGGCCGCGCAAACTCCGTCGCGTTTTAAAGTTTTTTCATCGATGTTTGAGGCTACTATTAATGGAGGTGCACACTAAAAAATTTCAAATTTAGGATTTAATTTATTTAAGGTATTAAACGTACAGCAAAACAGGCAGTTTCTCCTGGTTTTATAAACTGTATATGTCCCGATACGGCGTTTTCAGCTACACCTGATTCAAACCAATTTAAATTTAATTCGTTACAAGCAGTATTGATAGCGTATCTAGCTTCAAAATTGTCTACGCAACTCAACACTAAATCAACAGGACCTTTAGTTAAACTGCCAGTTCTAGAAGCAAAATGTTAATTAATTAATTAATTAAAGTGTGTGAATAATTTTAAGACTTACGATATCGTGTCCATAAAATTCTGAAAATTATCTACAGTGGTAATATTATAATTATAAGTCGATATGTCAACGTCTGGATTGATATTTCTTAAAGTTTCCGCGGCGGCTTCCACTTTACTCAGACCCGATTGGTGTGGTTGAAAAAATAACCGATTCATATTCGCCATTTCAACTTTATCGTAATCAAAAAGAATCAAACGTCCGATTCCACAGCGCGTTAACATTTCTGCCGTCACACTTCCAACGCCACCAACACCGACTACCGCGCAAGTAAAGAGACGTATATTTTCGTAGTTATTTACTATTCCCATACGTTTCAATGCCATTAAACGACTAAAATTGTATAGGAAAAATCAATAAAATTTATTGTTTTGAATTAACCTAATAGTGCATAGTATAAGTCTTGTTTTATCTTTTATTAATCATCAAAATTACAAAGCTACCTAAGCTAATAATATAGGTAAAAAGTCTCCACAATACCAGATTGCGAAAAGTTAGTTATATTGGCTACAGTTTATTTTAATTAGTTATAGATAAAGAATGTTGGGTAAAATCAGTTTTGGTGTCAGGTTATGGAACTGCACAATGTCATGTAGATTAGGGAAGGTCTTGAAGTGAGAATCTTAATGTCATAACCAAGCAACTTTGTGATGATAAGTCTTCTATGTTGGTACTGCACCACCAATAATAAGACATCAGTATACTCTTCCACATCCAGATCGGTTTTTATGACAGTCATAAATAAAAGTCGGGGTGATTTTTGCCCACTTGAGTACTTGAAAAGATTTATAACAGTCAGACAAAGACAGGGTCGAATTTAAATTTTTTTAAACTAAAATTTAATAAAAAAACCAAAGTTTAGTTATAACAACTAAAATTTAATTATAAAAACTAATATAAAAGTCTTAGAAAAAAATATTAATTTTAGGAATGTCTAAATAATAGAATAACAAAATTTTAAAGAATCTAATTATCCTCCGCTCTTTTTTGTAATTAGACAATGCATGCATTCTCAAAACATTTCTTAGAAAAAATATGTAAGGTACAAGAGGGTAATAAGGGCCACCTAAGAATTTTTTTAAATTTTTTCGGAATGAAACTCTTTTAAATAAAAATAAAATATATTCGCTTATCAAACTATTTATAAAGTACAAAATGTAACTAAAAGAACGTCGGTTGTATACATAGTAACCCTGTAAAAAAATATTATGTATTCAACATGTGTGGTCGTTATTCTCTGGCTCGGCTGAAAATAAAGCCCATCATTAACATTAGTACAGTTTTTTTGATTTAAACAAGTCTTTTGTAACTTCTTGAGCCCTATAATTTGAGGCCTTTTTTCTCGGCCTAGTACACTTTTTTTCTGGTAATTCAGGCGTTTTCCGCATTTTTTTCATTTGATTTTGAAGGTCCAGGCAGATCTTCGGCTCTCTTTCGAGTTATGTTGCCCATCAAACGTGTACGAAGTACAGCCAACGGTATGTTTGCGTCATCGTCAGAACTGGACGACTCCTGGTTGCCGACAGCAGGACTAGTTAACAAAGAAGTCGATGAAGTTTGATTTTCAACAGGCCTACATACCGAAGACGGTGCATACGCCACGTCTGGAATAGCTCGAGGGTTGAAAGGGTATATGCCAGTAACTCTAAAGCCACTGGTAATGTTGGCTACGGACATACACTTTTCCCATACCGGTGTAAAGATATGTGAAAATCTGTCTTTAGTCAGCTTACGATCTGGTTTTTGATCCCAATACGTCATCAACTCCTCGTCCCAGAAATGTTCAAAGGACCTAAACACTGCTCGATCCAGCGGCTGCAATTCATGGGTGGTATTGCTAGGTAAACAAAACAGAAGAATCTCCAATTCTTCAGCCTTCTGTGCAACCATCATATCAAGATGCGACGTAGCACCATCAAAAATCAGAAGAACGTTGCCTGTGGGTTTGTACTTTGCAAAATGTTCTAGCCATTTGCAAAACAGTTCGGTAGTCATACTACCTTTTGGGCTCATTAACACAGGAAGACCATCTTGAAAAGTAGGTTTCTGACGTATGTCCTTAAAAAGAACCATGGGTGGTATTGCGTTACCCAAAGCGTTAACGCATGCCACAACAGTTGAGTTTTCCGCATGTTCTTGAGCTACAAGATGAACTCTTTTGGTTCTTTTTAGGGCCAACACGGATTGCTGATGATGCAATGTTAAGCGGCAGCCCTTTTCATCCATATTGAAAATTCGCTCAGGTGTATGTAACATTTTATTCTTTTCAAGAGTGAATCGTAATTTTCTGAAATAATCGTTAACAATAAAACGATTTAATTTCTGAGCTCTTGCTGGATTCATACACTGTGCGCGACGCTTACTTAAACGTGGGTGACGTTTTAGGAAGGCGCTGAACCAATCCTTTCCAAGAATTTGGTTATTTTTCTTTTTTTTCAAGTTAATTCCGTTTGCCTTAATGAAGCTGTATACATTTCTCCGAAGTGATTTAGGTGTCAAGGGTATACCAACTTCCGCCAGTCGGATTATTCTGTTTTCTAGATCTTCCTCCTGTTGCTTTGATAAAATTGGTTTCCTTCCCAATGATCTTTCTGTAGATCCACTCTGCATATGAGCTCTTAACGTACGCCGCGGAATTTCCGAACGCCTTTCAACTTCCCTCTGGGAAAGTCCTTGTAGAAGGAGTTGAAGGGCTTCTTCCATCATTTCTGAGGTCCAATTGGCTCGGATACCTCTACACGGTTTTCCAGGGTTGCTTTCTGTTAATAAGGCCCGGGCGTTATTTCCAGACAAGTAGCGTAAACCAGAAAAAATGTTTGCGCGGAAACCACAAGTAACCTAACATTAGCAATCATAAGTATATTTAATGCTCTTTCATTGCCACCAAGTGTAAAATATGTAATTACTTACGTTACAGGCTCACAAGTCAACACTCTCGACAATGACTTATAAAACCAATAGCTTATAAATCTTCGCTATCACTACCACATGAACGGTTACCCTAACAAACGCAACTATAATCGTGACAACGATTACATATATTTGTGCTTCGTCTTGACTCGAATGCTGGCCTCGTTTATGCTTGTCGGCGAGATTTTCGAACATGGGCCTTATTATCAGGCGGGCCTTATTACCCTCTTGTACCTTACTTAATATTAAAAATACAACAAATAAGAGAATAATGAGTATTTATATATCACCCTATTATTTTTCTACAATTTGCAAGTAAAGAGTGTTCTTTAATGCGGCCCTGAGTGAGGAATCCCAGCATTCTACAATGGGAAACTACCTGGTGCAACCCCGTCTTTGTTCATTTTACAACTACAGTAGGAAAGTGACAGAGTCATAAAAACCGATCGCCGTGTGGAAGACTATACCATGTGAAGTTAACATAGAGTATGTTTTATTTTCCATATTTTACTAGTAACTGTTTCTAATACCTGTTATATTATTAGTACCTGGAATAACTTACTAAATTTTTTTATATTTTGTTATCATTTGATTTGTATATTAATTTGGTATATTCTTATTTCATAATCACATATTTATATTAATTTAATATTTGTACTCCTTAATTCTAAAAACATTTGATTCAAAGAGGACCATACTATTACAAAGAAAAATCAAAAACAAATAGAAACTAAATTTATAACAAAAATATCTTCCAACATTATGCACTAATAGGTTAATTTATAGTATAATAGTATCATTGAGTTCTTAACCTAATTGTGTAACTTAATATCCTTTTTACACCTTATCTAAACATTCTTTTGATATCACATCCCTAAAATTATATTTAATTCCACGATTAAAGTAAAATTAAACAATACCAATTTGTTTTAAATGGGAATGCCCTCAAAACATTTATTCTCACCTGTATGGGTTTGAATCCACAACTTCTGAAGACATATTTTCAATTTTTTGTCTTGCAGGAACATTTCTAACATCGTCTTGTTTTGAATTAGACCCACTTTCCTTCATGGTTACCTCTAAATCTTTATTTACAGACATTTTCGGCGACTGACCAGCATATGGGCTAAACTAAAACACGTTATTTGACATGAAATGAAACACCGACAGCTAAAGATAACTTCATTATCGGCTAAAATTCGAGTTTAGTGTGGTGTTTTTATCATAGATGGTGTTGATGATGTTTTTATTATTTTTAATTTTAAATAAATTAATAAGAATTTAACAATTTTTATTAACGATTTAGTTAAATTATGATTTTTTTAAAATTTACTTTGTTGTTTGATAAATATATAGGTTAATGAGAAGATAACGATTGGTTTACATAAACCGTAAGTGTTTTTGGGTGTTTAGTAATTATAAACATTTAGTATAAGTTGGTTTTTTTATAGTTTCTTTCTGAAATCGTACTTGTAAATTGAATGAACGTTGAGTTATATTACTAGTGCTAAGTAATGTTAGCGTTTTTCTAAGTTTTACGACTCAATTAATGCAGGTAAGGTCTTGTGGGTAACTCTTTGTGAAGTATTCGATAAATCTTGGCTGGTTTGAGTTAAAATAAATATCCGAAGGAATTTCAGTTCAAGCTTGTTCACGGCCGTTGACTGACGGCGATCTGTCGTCGAGAACGAGATGCATTTTAATATAGAACATATGTTTTAAGAGAACCAGATGGAGCGTTTAGTGGTAATTAGACATCTTGAGATGCAAAGAAAAAAATGAGAATTAAAAATAGGGTATTGTTAGATGAGATGTTGTAACGAAGCAATAAAATTTCGCGTATCGCGCTTTTATGAATGAACGGAAAGATTATCGGGCGGAGAGATTTTTTTTCAGACAATCTAAACAAATACAGGGATCCCCTGCCTAATAAATTTTCTATTTTCGCCGCCGTTTCATAAGCTGGAGACCGCATCGGAGACGGCTACGTGCATCCCGAAGTCCGTTGAACTTGAACACGGATATTAAAATAACGGAGGAGAAACGTCATCGAAGATATACATTCCAATAAAGTTAGGTAACCCCAACTTTTGCGAGTTAATTAGCGAAAAATAGGCCGCTCCGTTTCTGCAAAGAGTTTATGACCTTTTTTCGAAGATTGCCCTGGGTCTCGGGTGTGACTCATATGACACTAACGCGTTCTCGGTACCGGTCACTGTCGAGTTTTCGTGGAAATCCTGCGGTGGAATAGATTGAAACGACCACCACGAGGACATTAATTATTTTTCCTCGTCACTCCACATATTTTTATTTTTCACCTAAAATCTACTAATATTAAAACAACTTTAAATTTAGACGGTCAACAGGTGTGGTCTGCCTTTTAGTATAATCCTCAGAAAATTTCGAATTGCTTTTTATAATCGAACAAGGCTATTAACGGACGATGAATTCGATCGAAATCAAAGTTGTCACGCCACTCTTCCGAAAGTTGAAGCCGGACGAAAGAAAAAAATAATCCGGCAAAACCCACTCGGTCGCCGTGACATAAATTTTGTAACAGCCGACAGCGTAAAGAGGAAATTGATACAAAAAGCCGAAAGTCGATTGATTCATGGGATTTTCCTAGTAAAAGTAAGAGGCAACCTCTTAGGCTCGTCCGGATGCGGCTGTCATCAGAAAGTCTGAAAGTCCTAGGTCCTCCTCTAAGCTGAGTCTTAAGAAGATCGATTCCGCGCCGGTAGATCGCCGAACTTTTTATTTAGACTTGAATCGACGTCACCGGGCCCCGCGAAGATAAAAACACCGATAAATGCGTATACGATGAGGAATTTGTGTACCTATATTTATTTTTACCCCGGACCGAAAAATATATCGCACGTGACGTCCTTTGCGCGTATAAGAAACGACGCCCCGGCCTATGACTCAATTCCCACCATCAGTAACCGTCGAAACTGTAAATGGAGCATCCATCAGAAATCGGATTGCGCAATTGCCAACGATTTCAAACCCGGTTCCGTCTTGTTTATCCCGAAATCGAATCGTTAAACTACCAACTTTATGATCTGAGGGTCTACATTCTTACAACCTAACTCAACATTATCAACACAAAATCATACCTCCACATAAACACACTACTAAACCAAATTGACAAACTAAATGATTTCAATAATCAAATTCCAATTCAAGTTCTCATTGTGATTTGGGGTAAGATTAAAAAAATTTCAACAAGAAGAAATTATAAATTCAAATCAAATTATAAATTAACAAGTTTTCCTGTAAACTTGTTAATTTATAATTTGAGGAGTTTTTAAACTATTTTTATGTTAAATTATAGCTTAAAGATTCTATTTTTGAGTTTGATATAGAAATAATGGGGAGAGATTTAAAAAATTAAAAAAAGAAGAATTATAGGAAAACTTGTTAATATAAGATGTGGGAGGATATTTAAAAAATCACTCTGACTTTATTTTGAGGAGTTTTTGAATTATTTTTATATTAAATTATAGCTTAAAGATTCTATTTTTGAGTTTGATATAGAAATAATTGGGTAAGATTAGAAAAATTAAGAAAAAAAGAATTATAGGAAAACTTGTTAATTTAGGAGGTGGGAGGAAATTTAAATAAAACACCTTTGATTTTATTTTGAGGATTTTTTAAATTATTTTTATATTAAATTATAGCTTAAAGATTCTATTTTTGAGTTTAATATAGAAATAATGGGGTGAGATTAAAAAAATTAAAAAAAAAAAGAATTATAGGAAAACTTGTTAATTTAGGATGTGGGAGGAAATTTTAAAAAATCACCCTGACTTTATTTTGAGGAGTTTTTAAATTATTTTTATATTAAATTATAGCTTAAAGATTCTATTTTTGAGTTTGATGTATAAATAATTGGGTGAGATTAAAAAAATTAAAAAAAAAAGAATTATAGGAAAACTTGTTAATTTAGTTTGTGGGGGAAATTTAAAAAAATCACCCTGATTTTATTTCGAGGTTTTTTAAATTATTTTTATATTAAATTATAGCTTAAAGATTCTATTTTTGAGTTTAATACAGAAATAATTGGGTAAGATTAGAAAAATTGAAAAAAAGAATTATAGGAAAACCTGTTAATTTAAGACGTGGGAGGAAATTTAAAAAAAATCAGCCTAACTTTATTTTGAGGAGTTTTTAAATTATTTTTATATTAAATTATAGCTTAAAGATTCTATTTTTGAGTTTGATATAGAAATAATTGGGTAAGATTTAAAAAATTAAAAAAAGAAGAATTATAGGAAAACTTGTTAATATAAGATGAGGGAGGATATTTAAAAAATCACTCTGACTTTATTTTGAGGAGTTTTTAAATTATTTTTATATTAAATTATAGCTTAAAGATTCTATTTTTGAGTTTGATGTAGAAATAATTGGGTAAGATTAGAAAAATTAAAAAAAAAAGAATTATAGGAAAACTTGTTAATATAAGATGTGGGAAGAAATTTAAAAAAATCAGCCTGACTTTATTTTGAGGATTTTTTAAATTATTTTTATATTAAATTATAGCTTAAAGATTCTATTTTTGAGTTTGATATAGAAATAATTGGGTAAGATTAAAAAAATAAAAAAAAAAGAATTATAGGAAAACTTGTTAATTTAGGATGTAAGAGGAAATTTAAAAAAATCACCCTGACCTTATTTTGAGGAGTTTTTAAATTATTTTTATATTAAATTATAGCTTAAAGATTCTATTTTTGAGTTTGATATAGAAATACTGTATAATATATTTACCCCGGCCCAGGGTAAATACCCAAACAGTGAGTATAAAAGTGATATCAGTAAAAATAAGTATATCAGATTCAAAAAAAAAGGAAGAGGAAGATGATGAGGACGTTGAAGTCGAGGAATTGTCAACAATCAAAGACGTATTATCGAACGTATTATATTATTAGACGAATCTGTCGTAATTTAGATTAGATCAAGTTATTATGATTACTATCATCAAGCAGCCCTCTTCGTCCATTGTTGGACATAGACCTCCCCTATTCTGTTCCATTCGATTCTATTCTGTGCTGTCTGAATCCAGTTGTTGCGCCCAGTTCCACTTAAGCTTTGCCACAATGTTGACCATATCATTTACGCCAGTGCTTCTTCATAGGTCTTCATTTCGTATATATTCCCTCAGAGTTAGACCCAGGATCGACCTCTCCATCTATATTTGCGTTACTTGGACCCTTCTGGCAGTGGCTACCGTTAATCTTAAAGTTTTGGAGCCTTATGTCATAACCGGAAACACGCATTGATTGAAAGCCTTTTCTCTTGAAGATGTCTCTAAGTTTCCCGTAGGCTGCCCATACGAGTGTGATCCTTCTGTTTAGTTCGCTTGTTTGATTACCTCTTGATACACGAACCTCATAGCCAAGATATACATAGCTGTCAACTCTCTCAATCTCATTATCTCCAATGTTGATGTTAGAGCTGGGAACAAGATTTATCATAAATTTTGTTTTAGTTTAATCTTTCCAAGTCAATCAATGTTTATGTCTTTTTGGGTCCAATCCAGTTGTTTAAATACACTCTCAGGATTGTGATGAACAATTTGGGTTCAACAGTGTATCGCTTTGTTTTACTCTCTTCAGTACTTTCATGCAATTTTAGCGTCATTGTAGCATTCTTGTAGATGTTATGAATAAGATTGGTGTATCGATAATCGACTCTGCGCTCTTGAAGTGCTTGCAAAACTGCCACCAACTCAATTTAATTTAAATTTTATAAATACCTCTAATGATTCATCTGTTGATTTTCGAAAATTAACTCAATCATAACTCAAAAACTAAAAGCGATGGAGAAAAACTTTTTATACATAAAACCTTAGTAATGGGCGATAAAGACTAGATCCATAATAAGATTGAACCCAATTATTACCATTTTTTATTTATAAGCTCTAAACCGATTAAACATCAAAATTGTTGATTTTCGAAAATTAACTCAATTATAACTCAAAAACTAAAGGCGATGGGGAAATAGTTTTTATACATAAAACCTTTGTAATGGAGCATAAAGACTAGATCCATAAAAAGATTGAACTCAATTATTACCATTTTTTATTTGTAAGCTCTAAATCAGTGGTGACCATAACGTCAATTGCCAAAAAAATCGGGAATCTGAAATATCTATATCTGGGCCTCAGAG